GGTGTCTGGACCCATAGCTGATGTGCTTTCCATCTCTCCCCATATTCTCGTCCACAAGAGGCAGCAGCCAGCCTGCTCGGCTCCCCTTTGATACCCTCCCCTGCACCCAGGTTGTCCCCTAGGAAGTCAGGAGACATCTCCAGCCCCTTGAGTGGTTTCTCACTTTCAACCGCATCTCCAATCTTTTGCCAGACTGGCCAAAGCCAGCCCGTGCTCCCCACCTCCCAGACGTAAGTCTTCCCTCTAAGCTGCTCCAGCTCTTTCCCCTCCCTCCTTTCTCCTCTAAGGGCCTCTGAGTAGGCATCTCCCAGCCCTGGGGGGGCAGGGGACAGGGACCAGTAGTTGCCGGAGGGAGGGAGAAAGGTTCTCACAGGGAGCTCCTCTGGGGCCTGGCACTTAGCTCTGGCCATCTCAAGCTCCTGGAACACCAGCAAGGTTGTGCAAAAAGCAAGGAGGAGAGAAACACCAGTACACAAGGGTGGGGGAAAGGATAGGCACAGGACCCGTAGCTGTCTAGCACAGACCATCCTGATTTCCCCCAAACACCCCGCCATTCCCTCCCTGACGCCAGGAACCTGTTGGTGAAGCCCTAGGCGTCTCCTTCAAGAAGGGTCCTCCTGAGGTCCCCTCGGCCGTCCACCTGCCCCCACGCAGGCTGTTTTCTCTATTTCTTCCAAGGTGACTGCCTAAATGGTATAGGCTTTCTGCCAGGGAAACTAAGGGCTGGGGAGGGAGAAGGGCTGTCAGGGGCACCAGGGACAAGGGATGGGCCCATCGTGCTAAGTCTCAGCTGCAACTCCTACCCTTGTACTCCCACCTTCATTTTGCTTGGTGTTCGGTGGGGGTGATAGTGATGTCATGGGTGTGGAGTGCCAGCCACGTGCTAGGCACCAAGCAAAACAGCCAGGGCGAGTACCATCATCAGTGCCTGGAAAGGAAGGCCACCGAAAGGAGTGAGTCTGGTAGAAAGGCTGGGAAGAGGGAAGGGAGGCACCTTGCTGGATGAGGGCGGGGAAGCCCAGAATAAAACCGTGCTGCAGCGAGCGTTAGCGAGAGAAGCCCCAGGCCAGCCCCGGAGAGGGATGCCCCTCATCTGCCCCTACTCTGCTTTTCCCAAAGCTTGTAAATGCCCCAGACATGAGCCAGCCCAGGCCCCGCTACGTGGTAGACAGAGCCGCATACTCTCTCACCCTCTTTGATGATGAGTTTGAGAAGAAGGACCGGACGTTCCCACTGGGAGAGAAGCTTCGCCATACCTTCAGGTAACGTGGCTCAGAGCCCAAACATCTCCTTGCCTCTGCTCCCCACCAAGATCCTTCCTGTGCCAGGGCATGGCGCCTCCGCCAATGTGCCTAAGACAGCGCCTAGGGAAGCCCTGGGGAGGAGAGGTTCAGAACCTTGACTTTAAGATCCTATAACTTCATCCGAACCAAGACCGCCAGGGAGGATGGGGACTAGGAGCAAGGACCATCTACAGTTCAGGAGGGATGTAGAGCAGCCCCAATCCCTTGTATGAGGTCTTGCCATATTCTCAGTCCATTCAAGTCTCTCTTGGGTTCTTAAGGGAGCTGTAGGTGGGCATGTTATAGCATGAGGGGGGCATGCATATAGCATCAGAGCCCTTATTTCAATGTCCTGTCCCCTCCTTCTCAAGAAAAATCTGTAGCTACCACCCTATGCCCTGTGTTCTCTTTTCTGCCTAGAGGCTCCTTCCTTCTGGAACCAGAGAATGCCCAAAAGCAGCCCATAAATTCCTGGGCTCTCCTAAGGGGTACCCGCCAGGATGTGGTCCTACCAGTTCTGGGGCTCTTTCCGCTCTCGGGTCCCTGGAGCTGTTCGGGTGGGTAACGAGACCTCGCCCCCAAGGAGGGACTGCAGGAGGCGATCCGTACCCACGCTCCCGGAGCCTAAGGCCAGGCAGGAGCTTCACCTTCCCCCTTCCCAGACTCCTGGCAGACCTCACTCAGACCGTGCTCACTGTGGCTGGCTTGCTCTTCGTCACTCCCCTGGGGAAACAGCTGATTCAGTTACCGGGATTGAGGTCACTGGCAATGGCTGAAGTGGAGATGCAAGTGGAACTGGTTCAGGCCGGGGGAATCACCCACTTGAGTCTTTACTAAAAGCCCTGGCCCAGCCCTACTTCTGGGAGGTTCCATCTCTGCCCGGGTGCAGCCAAGGCCTTGGGTGCCAGGGTCTGGGCACTGCACCCACAGCTGTCCTCTCGGACAGGTGGGCTCAGCCAGCCTTGGTGCCCAAAGAGTATGAGTTTGGATTCTTTCTGTGCTGGAGGGATGAGGGTACCTCCTGTTGTCCTAAAAGATTAAACAACTATAAAGCAATGTAGGGAACTAACAAGTCCCAGGAGGCTGGCATGGGAGCCTTAAACAGTGCCTGGCACACAGAAGGTACTCTGATAAATACTTGTTTAAGGACTGAATGAATGTCTAGAAAGCTAATCCCTCTGTCCCCTTCCCATGTGGCCTCTGGAGCCTCTGCATAGGTGTTTGTATCTCTTTCCAGCTCTTCCCTCAGGCTCCTGACTGCTTTGCTCAACATACGGCAGGCTTGAAAGTCAGGCTGGGCATGTATGAGCCCTTGAGTGGGTTGTTTTTCTTCTCCTAGCTGACTCTCTATTCACGAGCCAGTTCTCCCTGCCACAGACAGACCTGGGAAGGTTCCTGCAGGGCTGGTTCTCTGTTAGGACAAGGCTTTGGAGATGCGTTAAGGTGTTCACCACCTGGCCCACCTCTTGTCTACCATCCAGAGGAGACCAGGCAGTCAGATACTGATGGTGATGCTGTTCCACAAAGTGTTGGTTGGGACAGAAAATCTGCCCCAACTTCACAGGGCACAAAGCATTGACTGTGTTGATTTCAGTCTTGGGTGACATCCAGCAGACCCAGTGTCAGAGAAACTATTGTTGAGCAACAGCAAACAGCAGGCATTGGTGCTGAGCAGGAAAGGAGACCGAATCAGAGCAGGCCAGTGAGTCACCAGATGGGCTGCGAGTATTTGAGTTCCCTCAGCTGGGAGAAGAAAAGCAAATGCCTCCCACCCGCTTCCAGTCATCAATCCACCAGCTGTCACCTTTGAGCTTGCGGGCCCTTGTTCCTACTGCCCCTGCGTTTCTATGAAAGGACTTCGAGGCGTTCAACAAACAGGGCAGGAATCAACTCTCCCCACCCTGCAGTGACCACTGCTCAGCTCTCCCACTCCTCCCACCCCTGATGAATCAGCAGTGGAAAGAACTCCAGGACTGGAGTCATCCCACAAAGGATGGTGGGGCAGCAGGGGCACACTGTGCGGGGACAGTGGAGCCTTCCCTTTGGAGGGAAGTTCTAAGAAAGATGGCAGCATCCCCCACTCAGACTGTTTCAATACTGGCCCATCCTTTCACTTATTCATTTATTCATTCATTCATTCATTCAACAAATATTTACTAAGCAACTCAGTGTAATGCACGAGGTATATAAAGATAACAAGAGTGCCAGGCTTGTCTCCCTGGTGGGACTTAGTGTCTGGTGGGAGTGAGAGATGACAACACAGGTGCTCACAAAGCTGTAGGAAGTCAGGAGACATCTCCAGCCCCTTGAGTGGTTTCTCACTTTCAACCGCATCTCCAATCTTTTGCCAGACTGGCCAAAGCCAGCCCGTGCTCCCCACCTCCCAGACGTAAGTCTTCCCTCTAAGCTGCTCCAGCTCTTTCCCCTCCCTCCTTTCTCCTCTAAGGGCCTCTGAGTAGGCATCTCCCAGCTCTGAGGGGGCAGGGGACAGGGACCAGTAGTTGCCGGAGGGAGAGAGAAAGGTTCTCACAGGGAGCTCCTCTGGGGCCTGGCACTTAGCTCTGGCCATCTCAAGCTCCTGGAACACCAGCAAGGTTGTGCAAAAAGCAAGGAGGAGAGAAACACCAGTACACAAGGGTGGGGGAAAGGATAGGCACAGGACCCGTAGCTGTCTAGCACAGACCATCCTGATTTCCCCCAAACACCCCGCCATTCCCTCCCTGACGCCAGGAACCTGTTGGTGAAGCCCTAGGCGTCTCCTTCAAGAAGGGTCCTCCTGAGGTCCCCTCGGCCGTCCACCTGCCCCCACGCAGGCTGTTTTCTCTATTTCTTCCAAGGTGACTGCCTAAATGGTATAGGCTTTCTGCCAGGGAAACTAAGGGCTGGGGAGGGAGAAGAGCTGTCAGGGGTACCAGGGACAAGGGATGGGCCCATCGTGCTAAGTCCCAGCTGCAACTCCTACCCTTGTACTCCCACCTTCATTTTGCTTGGTGTTCGGTGGGGGTGATAGTGATGTCATGGGTGTGGAGTGCCAGCCACGTGCTAGGCACCAAGCAAAACAGCCAGGGCGAGTACCATCATCAGTGCCTGGAAAGGAAGGCCACCGAAAGGAGTGAGTCTGGTAGAAAGGCTGGGAAGAGGGAAGGGAGGCACCTTGCTGGATGAGGGCGGGGAAGCCCAGAATAAAACCGTGCTGCAGCGAGCGTTAGCGAGAGAAGCCCCAGGCCAGCCCCGGAGAGGGATGCCCCTCATCTGCCCCTACTCTGCTTTTCCCAAAGCTTGTAAATGCCCCAGACATGAGCCAGCCCAGGCCCCGCTACGTGGTAGACAGAGCCGCATACTCTCTCACCCTCTTTGATGATGAGTTTGAGAAGAAGGACCGGACGTTCCCACTGGGAGAGAAGCTTCGCCATACCTTCAGGTAACGTGGCTCAGAGCCCAAACATCTCCTTGCCTCTGCTCCCCACCAAGATCCTTCCTGTGCCAGGGCATGGCGCCTCCGCCAATGTGCCTAAGACAGCGCCTAGGGAAGCCCTGGGGAGGAGAGGTTCAGAACCTTGACTTTAAGATCCTATNCTTTGAGCTCATTTAGTTTTACCTGTTCTGTCTCCCTCCCTGGAATATGGAGATTTGGTGGAGCAAGATACACCCTATGCCAAAAAGTGTTATACAGATGTGAGAAATTCCTGTCAGACTCCCAGTCTGGCCCAACAGGCCATGGCAGGGACATTGGGATCCTCTGGTGCTAACTGAGATGGAGACAAAGGGCCTGGTCACAAGATCTGCTTCTACGTCAGGCTCTGCCTGTTTCCCAGCTCATTTCCTCCTGTGTTTGATGAAATCATATTAAACTTTCAGGTGAAAGCACCTTGAACGGTCGTAGATCACAGTTAGATGTGAGTGGTCACCATGCTGGCCGGGCAGCCCAGGAGGTGTGGGAATCCAGCCCCCGGGGGTCGGGGAGCATTCCAGCCCCTTGCTGGTTTCCGTGGGTGTGGTCCAGTCCTCTGACTTTTGCCGGTTGGGTGGGCCCACAGGTACCTTTGCTGTTATCAGCATCCTGGTGGGTAACATCTGTCTGCAGCTAGCCCCAGAGTCCAAATTCCGGGTCTTCAACAATGCCACCAACGAGACCTACGTGGATACAGCAGCCATGGAGGCTGAAAGGCTGCATGTGTCAGCAACACTAGCCTGCTTGACTGCCGTCATCCAGGTGAGGGGGACAGCCACACACCTGCCAGGGCCAGCTTCTGTACAGCATCAGACCGCCCCAGCCCCACCTCAGAGCCCGGTTTTGACGCTAAAGCTGACATAGAGCCCTCCCTCCTCTCTCTTCCCCATTCCTAGGGGCTCAAAAGAGCTTGAAAAGGCAGAATATCTCTTCATCTGCCTCCAGCAGATCCGTAGAACCAACTTCTGCACCTCATAAAACTGTCTTGAGTTAAAGACCGTCTAAAAGACTCACAGCCTCTCCCCACTAACCTTTGCAGGGCCCCACTCCCTGCCAGCACAGTCCTCCTGTTCCTCCGATGCCCATGACACCCCTCCAGGCTTCTCTGCTGCAAGCCAGACCACCACCTGCGTGGTAGGAATTGTGTGTCCCCAGTGGTGCAAAGGACTCGGATAGGTTTGTGAAAGGACTGCTGCATGACAGAATGTAGGGCAGGAAGCAACCTCAGAGGCACCTTTCATGCATTGATTCGTTCAGTTAATGTTTTGGGCTGTTGTGCTGTGCCAGGAATTGGGCTACACCCCGGGGACAAACGATAAGGAAAAGAGGCCCAGTTCTCAAGGAGCTCCGAGCCCAGCAGAGGAAGTAGACATGTCAACAGATAAATTTGTAGGCAGAGAGATAAGCAGCATAATAGGGCTATGGACCAATAGCTGTGGGCACACTGAAGAGACCATCACGGAAGGCCTTGCCTCAAAGAAGGAAGGTGGCATCTGAGTCTTAAGGGATGAGTAGAAGTTGACCAATAACCCATGAACAAGGCACAGAAGGACGGTCCAGGCAGAGGGAATGCTCTCAAAGCATGGAGGCCTAGGAGAGTGTGAACTGACCCGGAGATGGCTCAGGAAGGAGTCTGGGGTGGCTGGAGGACAGGCTAGGGAAGAGGCTGAAGAGGTCAGCAGGGGCCAATGAAGTCTGCGGTCTGCCCCTAAGTAGCAGCTTTGGGTACAATGGGCAGTTTTTAAGGATCATTTGGGTCATGGAAAAGATGATGCGTGGGAGATGGATTCAAATCAAAGCAATGGACCTGTTGGGAGACTATGCAGAGGGAGAGATGGGGGTGGACTTAGGGAACATTTGCCAGGAGCATTAACAGGGCCTGGTGATAGACTGAATGTGGGAGGTGAGGGAGGATGACTCCCAAGTTTTTGGTTAGCCAACTGGGCAGAGAGTGGTATCATCTTTAGAGAAAGGAAACACCAGGGAGGACCAGGTTCCTTTTGCAGATAAGAAAACTGAAGCCAGAGAGGCGACGTGGCAAAGAAGCCCATGCCCTAAAGGGACTGAAGGTCTGCGGCACAGTAGAGAGGGCAAGACACCATCACAAAGGGTTCATTTCCCTAGAGGGCTGCCTGGAGGTCCAGCCCTGAGTTGGAGTCAGGCAGGTGTGGGAGCCACTGACCCTCCCTGGTCTTCCCCACCCCTACCCCCTCCTCTCAGATCAGCCTGGGCTTCGTGCAGTTCGGCTTCGTGGCCATCTACCTCTCTGAGTCCTTCATACGGGGCTTCATGACAGCCGCCGGCCTGCAGATCCTGATCTCGGTGCTCAAGTACATCTTCGGGCTGACCATCCCCTCCTACGCTGGCCCAGGGTCCATCGTCTTTGTGAGTCTAGGAACACACCCCTGCAAATGGGGAGGGGAACAAGCAGCCACCTAAGGAGACTTTACTCTTTTAACAAACTATAAGTTTGTCACTACACGGTGTTCCCAAGCAAGGGCTGGCCGGCCCATTGTTTAGAAGGGATTGTCAGGGGGTTACCACTTTGCGGGGGAGGGTTGAGCACATGACCTTGAGGGCTCGCCGAGGTTCTCCGTGGTTAATCCCTGCAGAAAAGAAGATGAACGCTTCATAGCTTCATCGGTTACCCAATCCAGTCCCTCAACCCCTCCCTGCCTGGGAAGTCCTTCTTTGTGTCTAATATCCATCCCTCCTCCTTCAGCTTGAATTCTTTCTAAAGAAAAAGAGAATCAGCGTTCCCATCCCAAAATGAGCTCCCAACATGCCCTTTGGGAGAGGGTGGTAGAGGATGGGATGGTGCTCGTGACCAGGATTCTGCTTTGGTGTGCTCCATTAGCACTGGTGACATCCCTTCATAGGCTGGACACCCAGGGATGGGGATCCTATGGGAAGAGGAGGTGGGAGCCCATGAGCATGACGCTCTCTCCCCCAGACCTTCATTGACATTTGCAAAAACCTCCCCCACACCAACATCGCCTCGCTCATCTTCGCCCTCATCAGCGGTGCTTTCCTGGTGCTGGTGAAGGAGCTCAATGCCCGATACATGCACAGGATCCGCTTCCCCATTCCTACGGAGATGATTGTGGTAAGGGCCTTGCCCAGGGCAGGGGTGTGGGGGCAGGCCACGGGCATGAGAAAGGGAATCCAGCCCCAGTGAGGGCCAAGGGAGCCCCTCCCCCTCCCCCCTCCCCTGGCTGCCCGGAGAACAGGATGGCAGGGTTGAATCCATCCCATCCCCCTCTACATGGCTCCCATTCTGCCCGCTTCCCAAGTTGTTTCCCCCTCAAGGAGGCAGGGGAGAAACCTGCCTCCTTTCTCTGGGGAGCCTCCCCAGAGAAAAGGGAGGTTGGGAGAGAACCCTGCTCGGGCCCCAATTTACAGCCAATCCCCATTCTCCACTTTGGGGTTTGCAGGTGGTGGTGGCGACAGCTATTTCCGGGGGCTGTAAGATGCCCAAAAAGTATCAGATGCAGATCGTGGGGGAGATCCAGCATGGGTGAGCCCGGGGGGCGGGAAGTCCAGCCCACCTCCACCACACTCCCCACATGGCTGGGCTCAGAGACCAAGCTGAGATGTTAGAAGGTCTATGACACTCACCAAATGTGATTTAGTCCTATTACTTGTTACGGAAGAGCCACTCGGCGAGCCAATGCCAGCAGCTTTATGAACAGTGAGTCCTAACCGCCGCCCCCTCCAGAAGCCTTATTCGGAGAGGCTGTTACACAGCGAGCCCTCCCTGGTCAGCCCTTTCCGGCTCCCCCCTTGCTCTTTTTCATCCATTGGAAAGGACTCTATTAGGACCAACTGGCCTCGGGGGCGGGGGCGGGGGCTGACGCTTTTGGTGCAGGGGGGGAGCAGGGGGGGGAGGGGGACCTCCCAGCGCTGGGGGCTGAGGCTCTGTAGCCCAGTGAGCATCAGGGCTCCAGGATCAAGGTGTGAACAGAGGAGCCCTAGCACTTACTAGCTCTGTGACCTCGGGACAGGTTAGGGTCTCTAAGCCTCGGCGTCCTACTTTGCCTAGGGAGTGACGGAAGGTGCCCTACAGCGTTGTCCTAAGGATTCAGACAGGAAGGCTAGTTTGTGCAAAGACCCTGGCACCCAGTGGCGCCCAGCTGGTGCCTGTGGGTTGATAAAGGACACGGTGCCCTCTCTCTCCTCACACACTTGGGCCCTGCCTCCTTTCTGGCTCCTTGGCAGGTTCCCCACTCCCGTGTTGCCTGTGGTTTCGCAGTGGAGGGACATGATTGGCACAGCCTTCTCCCTGGCCATCGTGGGCTACGTCATCAACCTGGCTATGGGCCGGACGCTGGCCAGCAAGCACGGCTATGACGTGGACTCTAACCAGGTAGGTCCGGCCACCCCCAGCAGGACTGAGCGAGACAGGCCCGGTCCCATAGAGGCCTGACAAGAGATATCTTAGGGCAGTGAGGTGAGGAAGGCTGCCTGCCAGTGGAGGCGGGGGGACCCTGATCCCTGACTCTGACTTCCGCTCAATTGGGCGTGTACAGCAGCAGGGCCACTCTGAAGGCCTAGGCCCAGGTGCAGCTCGCATGGAAGAGCATGTTTGGTCTGCACCCCACTGCCCCAGCTCTCAATCCCATCCCTGTCCCCACAGGAGATGCTCGCCCTGGGCTGCAGCAACTTCTTCGGCTCCTTCTTTAAAATCCATGTCATCTGCTGTGCGCTCTCCGTCACTCTGGCAGTGGACGGAGCTGGAGGAAAATCCCAGGTAAGCACTGTGCCAGTGGAGCAGGGCGGGGCTGGGAGGCTAACCAGACAGTTGCCCACGGAAGCCCAGGTGTATGCAAGCCCAGCCAGCTGCTTCTCCAGCCTTCCTCTCCCCTCCTTCGTCTCCACTCCAAAGGTAACCTTTGACAATAAATCAAGGGCAAGATTGTCACCTATCCCCCAACTCCTTCTCTGAATAGGTGGCAAGCCTGTGCGTGTCCCTAGTGGTGATGGTCACCATGCTGGTCCTGGGGTCCTACCTGTTCCCTCTCCCCAAGGTAAGAGTACAGCAGGAGCACAGAGGCCAGGAAGAACCCCCACTGAGAATGCGCACTGCTTTACAAAGTGCTGTCATTGTCACATTTGTCCTCGTCACAACTGCAAAGTAGACAACACAGGTTTTATGCCCCACTTTACAGGTGAGGGAAACTGAGGCTGAGAGCATCTCGGTGGTCTGTGTGAGAAAGCTCACAAGTACAGGGCTGGTCTCTCCCTAGGCCTCTGACCTCAGAATTGATTCCCCAGTGTTCACAAGGGCCTGTGAGTGCCTGGCCAGGAGGGCTCCAGGCATGGGCCAGCTGGGGGTGAGGGAGGGCAAAGACGGGGCCAGGACAGGCCCCCTTGCTCTAGCACTTCCCTCTAACCCAAAGATTGATTCCAGGGATTTGGGGGCTCCCCCTGCAGAGATGTCCCAGAACCTCAGCTCCACCCTGCCAGGTCCAGGGCCATGTGTCTGTAAGAACAGCAGAAGCAAGGGGACAGTCTGGGTGACAAGGAACAATGTTCTTCTCCCCCAGTCTGTGCTAGGAGCCCTGATCGCTGTCAACCTCAAGAACTCCCTCAAACAACTCGCTGACCCCTACTACCTGTGGAGGAGGAGCAAGCTGGACTGTGTAGGTACTGGGTGGCCTCCCGGCACCCATCCGTGCCCCTGCCTCTCTCCCAGTCCCACGGCCTGCCAGTTCTTCTTGGGGGGTGGGGGGAGGTCCTGCTGCTCAGCTGCTCCCTAGTAAGCACAGCTGAATGTGAAAAGCCCAAGTAGTGAAGTTAGACATCCTATGTTCAAATCTTACTAACTCAACCATTCACTGGCTCTGTAGCCAATAGCCAATCCCTTACCCTCTCTGAGTCTTGGCCTCCTCATCTGTGAAATGGGGATTTTATATTGACTACCTCACTCGGGCTGCTTATGAGATCGCACAAGTAGGGAGTGCATTGTCCGAATTGCATCTTGTGTTCAATAAAACCTAGCAATTATTATTGTAATGATTCATAGCTCCCTGAAAAGCAAAAAGAAACAGCTTTTAAAACAAATGAACCTAGAACATAAAACCAGCAGGCCAGAATCTGGAGCAAGTTACCAGACTTCCCTGGAGTTCTATTTCCTCATCTGTAATGAGGGTGCTAGTCATGGCTGCCCCGCACTTGGGTTTAGAGGGTTAAATGAGATCACAGTGAGAAAGTACCATATAACCATAGAACCCTCAGCAAACAGACTTATTGTTATGATTCATCACATTCCCAATGCATCTCTCACTGGACAACAGTAAGGAGGCTGCCTGGTATTCACAACACTGCATTATCCCCATTTGAGCCCCACAGTAACCTGTGAGAGGATTTACTAACCTCCTTTCAAGATTACAAACCAAGCTCAGAGAGGTTAAGTAACTCATCAAAGGCCACAAAGGTAGTACGCGGTACATTCAGGACTGGAACCCCAAGTCTTAGACTCCAGCCCTCTGGGTTGTCCTAACACCCAGGGGAGGAGGCTCACCTGCACCATTCAAGAAGGAAATCCTTAAAACCTGAGAAGTGAGCAGCCCTCTGGGGTCTCCCAGGGAGTGAGTGGTGGGGATCAGTCCCAGAAAATGAGTGACAAGAATAGGGAGAAAAATGATGTCCCAATTCTTACCCTAAGGATCTGCTTTTAGCACATCCCAGTGGTCTTCTGCCATGACAGTCCCCAGTATTTGCATGCTCTGGACTCTCATCTGATCTTCACAATTCCCTAACGGAATGCAGGGAGATTTTTTTCCTTTGGAGGAATTTGGGGAATTCTAAAGGATCAGAGGAGGCAACTATTAAAACGGCACCCAATCCTGCTCCCCACCCATCCGTCCAGGAAGGTCACTGAGCCCGTGGCAGGCCCTCACAGCTCACTCTTAGAGAATGGGAACTCACGTTTGTTGATCGCCCATGGGGTGCCCATCGCTAGGACCTTCACATCCCATAACTCTTTAATCATTTCTTAAAGCAAGTGTATTATTTCCGCTTTGGGGATTAGGCAACTAGGCCCACAGAATTAGCAAGTAGGAGAACAAAACTCTGAACCCAGGCATATACGACTAAAGGGGGGCCCAGGCCAGGCAGGAAGGATGCTGCTCTTATCATCATTCCCTGCTGCCTCCCTGTGCATGCAGGGCTGTCTATTAACAACCAGAGGAGATCAGGGAGCCACCCTCAATCTAGGGGAAATCACAAGTGTAACCAAAACACAAGGACATAAAACAGTACAAAAATGCCATGAAGAGAAAAGGGTGAGTCTGAAGTTGTGCGAGCAGAGAATGGCCTTGGCTAATCCAGGAAGACTTCTTGAAAGAAGCAGTTTTTCCCCCAGGCCTGCTTTGACATCTCTCTCCTCACAGTGCATCTGGGTGGTGAGCTTCCTCTCCTCCTTCTTCCTGAGCCTGCCGTATGGGGTGGCAGTGGGCGTCGCCTTCTCCGTCCTGGTAGTGGTCTTCCAGACCCAGTTGTAAGTAACAGGCCCTCCACCCCAGGCACTGCAGGGGAGCCCTTAGGCCAGCCTGCACAGGCCCCCATGCCAAGGCCCAGCCCGCCCTCCACACCTGCTGCCTTCGGGGCCTGGCACTGGGTGCTACCAGGCCCAAGAAGAACTCAGCCCAGCCAGGGCTGTGGGCACAGACTGGGCTGTCTGACTTTTCATACCCTGAAAACCCCAGAGGCAGCCATCGTGGTCTTGGAGGGATCAGAGAAAGTAGGGAAGGGTGGGAGGGTAAGCCTCAGAGTCTCCTTCCGCAGGCACTGCCAGACCCCAGATCAAATGGGACCCCACCACAGGGGAATGCCGGGCCAGAGAACAGTCGCTGTGTCCTTCCTAGAAAAAGATTAAGTAGCGCAGGCCAGGAGCACCAGAGGAAGGAGGTCCTGGCCAGGTCAAATGTTAGGGAAACCCTGTCTTCTTGAGAACTTAGAACTAGGAAGTGGTGACTTTGGGGCCACATAAGCTTGTCACCTTATATACCCCCACCACTTCTTCCCCGGAGCCCCAGTCTGGGAGCTATGTCAAGGGCCTGCCTGTCATCACCCTCGTTACAGCTCAGCCATAGGCCACCAGGCACATGCCCCCAGGACAGAAAGCCAAACACAAGCCCAGGCGTGAGGAAGGCCCCTCTCCTGCCATGCCTCTGCCCCAGCCCCAACCCAGCAACCCCCCAGGCCGTCCGCTATGAGTATCCTCTTATGCTGTTCTACTCCTTCATCCAGTCGGAATGGCTGCTCTTTGGCCCAGGTCATGGACACTGACATTTATGTGAATCCCAAGACCTACAATAGGGTAGGTAATCCAAGCTTATGACTTCCCTCTTGCCCTACCCCCACCCCAAGTAAAAAGAGGGGTTTTAAAAAAGAAAAGCCAACAAAGACATTTCTGCTGCCTGAACTCAGTCTCCCTGTCATAGGCCCAGGAAATCGAGGGGATTAAAATCATCACTTACTGCTCCCCTCTCTACTTTGCCAACTCAGAGATCTTCAGGCAAAAGGTCGTTGCCAAGGTGAGGCTCAGAAGTCTGTGCCCAGAGAGGCTGGACAGAGAGCGGCCAGAAGATGGACGGAAGGGGGCTGGGAGCCCAGAGCAGCCACCTCCAGAGAGGGCGGACATTCAGGCTGCTGTCGGCTCTCTCCCTGCAGACAGGTGTGGACCCCCAGAAGGTACTGCTAGCCAAGCAGAAATACCTCAAGAAACAGGAGAAGGGAAGAATGAGGCCCACACAACAGCGGAAGTCTCTATTTATGAAAACCAAGGTGAATTGAGACTAGGAACAGCCCGTGCCCTCTCCCCTGCCTTCTCTGATCTTGCCCCCTAGTGCCCCACCTGCTAGCACCCTTCACAGCAAAGGCATCAAGTCTCTCTGGCAATACCCTGGTGGCCACTGGGCATTCTTCTCTTTGGGTGAGGGGATGGTGGCTCCTGGAGCAATGAATGAACTCCCTTGGACCCCAGTATTTTCTGCCTTAGGCCCATGAGCCATGAACAACCTCAGATGGGGAGTGGTGGTGGATTTCCTGGGATACCCAGCCAACCTAGAGGCAGGAGGTGGATGTGGGTGTGGGGGTTCTGGGAGAAGCAGGCAGACACGGACAAATGCTAACAGAAGCTCAACTGTTTCCAAAGGGGTTTTCTCCCAAGCAGCGTGGGCCGAGGCTCCAGTGCCTCTTGGAAGTGTCCTCCAACTTTGACTTGTAGAAGACCAAACATGCAGGCCCTGCCTGAGAAAGGGGCGGGAGATGCCTCTCCCACGGGGCTGGGAGGCTTGTATTCACCACGGCCAAGTTCAGTTATTCACCACCACTGGCATGCTCCTTGCCCCGCTCCAGCTGCAGCCAAGTCTGATCCAGTCGATGATCCCTGACTCAGCCCCCCGCCCCCACCCTCCAGACTGTCTCCCTGCAGGAGCTCCAGCAGGACTTTGAGAACACCTCCCCCACTGACCCCAACAACAATCAGACTACTGCTAATGGCGCCAGCGTGTCCTACATCACCTTCAGCCAGGACAGCTCCCCAGCAGCCCCCTGTGAGCCACCAGGCCCTGCTGAGGTCCCCAGTGACCCTAGTGACATGCTGGCCAGCGTCCCACCCTTTGTCACCTTCCACACCCTCATCCTCGACATGAGTGGGGTCAGCTTTGTGGACCTGATGGGCATCAAAGCCCTGGCCAAGGTGAGGACCTCGGGCAGGGGGACCCCTGGCCCTCCCCCCCGACACCACCCCCATCCTTGCTCTCCCACAGTCCCTTTTCTTGAGGCCCTCACTTTGACCAGCTGCGGGAGGAAGCTTGCCAAGAAGGCTAGAGGCTTTGTCCCCGAAGTGACTGGGACAGGTTGCTCTCTGCAGAGCAGACAGTCCAAGACGAGGAATAGCTGGAGAGGAGCGCTGGAGCTCTAGACCCCACTGTCGCGGGTTGCCCTAGCACCCGTCTCTAGCAGAGGCCACCCCGAGTGCCCTCCTGGGCCACGAGGAACCCACCCCGGGTCCTCCGAGTAGAAGCCACGCTGGCCCTGGTTCATGGTCTGCTGCTCCTTCCCACACTCACCCAGACACTCTAGCATCAGCTGGTTCTGGCCAGCCGAGAAAAGGAGAAGTAACATGAGTGCCTGAGATCCTCAGGCCAAACACGCAGCCTATGGGATGCCTGGAATAGATGTGTCTGCCTGAGAGCTCTTCAGCAGCCACCTCCAAGGGCAGTAAACCTCAGAGCTGCCTCAGACAGGCAGCCCAGGGAGACTGACAGCATCCAGGCTGGTGCCCCCATCAGCCGGTTGTACAGAAGGCTCCATCCCCACCGTGGGCTCAGCCTGCTTCCTAGGCCTGGACCTACAGTCCAGGTGGGCCATGGCTGAAGCCCTGGCCTCTGCAGCCTCAATCCACCCCCTGCAGCATCTGCCTGAATGGGTGGGAAGGAGGTGGAGTCTAGGAATCTAAGCTGCTGAAAGGAAAAACCTGGCTCCATAAGCAGGGGCCATGGTGACTTTAAGTGCCCGCCTCACTGGAAAGCCCCATTTCCGCCCCCCTTTCCAGCAAAGCCGTGAGCCAACACTCCAGAGAGAAGAGCTGTGCTCTGCTGCTATTTTTATCTTTGGCTACCAGGGCTCTCAGCGCTGCCTGTTTCTTTGGCTTGCCTCTGAAGTGCGTTTTGTGAATCACTTTTGAGACCCACTCAGAACATTCCTTTCCTTTTGTCTTCCTGCCCCACACCCTCCCCAACACTTCTAGCTGAGCTCCACCTACAGGAAGATTGGTGTGAAGGTCTTCTTGGTGAACATCCATGGTAAGACAGAGAAGGCATTTAGGGGGCTGAACGGCTGGCAACAGGGGTAGGGTGGGAACAGGTTAGTGGGATGCTGAATGGTGAGTGGGTGGAAATGAGAGCACCCCAATATTCCCCAAATTACTGCCTGCTCTTGCGAGCTTTAGAAACAAGTCAGGAGAGACCATGGTCAGATTGTGTAAATGTCCTGTGGGGCTCGGTAAAAGAGTAGGGGATCGCAGCATTAAGAAAGGGAACTAGGATTCTAGTTTGCCCCACTAATTTGCCATGTAGCCTTTGCCAGATGTCCAGGGATCAACTTCCACTTCTATAAAATGAGGGCACTGACTAGATGAATTTGGAGATCTTCTCCAAATCTGCAAGCGCATGAATAAACATAAAGCACAACTGTCCAGGAAACACACAGAAATGCAGTCTCCCAAGGGCACATACACACAGCTGCAAGGACACGTCCACAGAGCAGTGGGCTTCACATCACTAGCACGTCGGCAGAGTGCAGGGACGAGAGACGTAGACACATGGCAAGTGCACACAAACAAGACAATGTGAAGGGGCATGTGACACCTCACTTCCTGCAGAGGGTCAGAGCCCTCCCAAGGGGCCTGCCCACCTTCAAATTGGCCTGGGCGTGTCCCGGGCTCTGTGGAGGCCCTGCTCAGGGAGAATGTGGAGTGGCAATAACTGCCATGCATGTGGTCCAGAGCTCAAACCAGCTGTTCCTCCCGCCCTCTCTGGACACTCCTCAGGAAGTCATCTACAGGTTTGGTAGTAGTAAGAGCTCTGCTCCATATTGGAGATTGCAGGAAAGGTCTGGGTAAACCAGAGGAAGGACAGACCTCAGGGGAAGAACTGGCAGAGTTCCCAAAGCCTTCCCTAGTGAGACAGCCTTTCCCACTCCATCGCCTCCAAGTACCGACTCCCTGAATCAAACTGCTTCCTTCTGCCTTGGGTTGAAGGTTCAGCATCCTCGGGTTCATGTTGCCCTCTGCTGCCCAGAGCCAATATTGCAAGGCCACGCCTGGCCTGGTCCTCCAACACTGAGCCCAACCCTCAGGCTTCTCTCCTTCCTTCCCTTCACTCTCACCGTCCACGGCCCCCCACAACCTCACCCCCGCAAATCCCCCAACCTTGGCCTCAGCTCCAAACCGCAATGGCTGTTGCCTTTCTGAAGGTCTTTTCCTCCTCTCAGCCCAGGTGTACAATGACATTAGCCACGGAGGTGTCTTTGAAGATGGGTGTCTGGAGCGCGACCACGTCTTTCTCAGCATACACGACGCGGTCCTCTTTGCCCAGGAAAATGCCAGAGAAGTGGTCCCAGGACGGAACTTCCAAGGGGTAAGGTCCCTGCACCTTGGGAATCTTAGACCCCAGGGCACTGAAATGGAGAGCCAGGCGGCATTGGGAAGAACACGGAAGGTTTGGGTTCCCCAAACCCAACACCAATTCTGTCATTTAACGTCTCTGAAACTGTCATGTAATAGCTTCTTTATCTGTAGAATGGGCCCCCAAACCAACAGGACGTACCTCGCAGGGGGTTTCTTTACTTTCTGTTTTAGGATTCACTTATAATTGTCTCATATCTCACTCAGAAGTACTTTGTATATTCTAAAGTCATTCACTGATACTAACTTCCGGCTGCACAGACTCCCGGTGTCCTGGCATCGCGCACCACCCCCTCCCCCACCCTTCCTACAAGGCCTGTGCTCTGGCCTGAATCCATAGGGCCTGGCCTCCTTGCTTCCTAGAAGACGCTTTGGGGAAGGGAGCGGGCCTGACCATTTTAATTTAGCAGAGCTTGGAGATTTAAGGCGGATGATAGGTAAAGGGGCTGGATAGGAGTTTTGTCTCAGTTTCTTGACATTTAATTTACTAGCTCAGTAAGTGGTATGCAAATGAGCTACAAATAACACTGGCTAGGCCTCCAGAGAGCCAGGGAGAAAGAAAAAGCCCACCCCACTAGGGTCCCTGCCCAGCCCTCCCCAGCCGCACACCCCCCACCTCCCCGGGGCCTCTCCAAGCTCAGCCCCTGCCCCTGGCTTCCTAAGACTCTGTACTCCGAACCCCCATAACAACCTCCCCTGCCTCCCGTGGGTCATAAGAAAGGCTTTTCTGGCCCTAGAGCGACCATTTGCTCTTTGCTGTAAGAGACTGGTGAGGGTGAAGCCTTCTGTTCTAAGTGCTGAGAGACCACCCAGGAGAACACGGGCCTGGGCGCCCGCCCACTCCACTTAGAGGGAGACTGCAGGGGCAATGGGCTTTCTGACTTCATGGACCTTGTCTGCAGAGCAAAGCCTGGGACATTCTGGAAGAACCCTCATCATTTGTGATTGCACAAAGAATGTCCAGTTACTGCCACATATACATTTAAAATAATTTATGTTATATATTTACATATTACAGACTATATTCCTATTATTACACTCACACACACACATCCCTTTTCAATGGCGTGGTGAGGTAGAAAGCCAGCAAAGTGAGTTTCTTATTCTACTTTTACGGATGAGGAAACAGATTTCCAGAGAAGAGAAATGGATTCCCCAGGGTCAGACAGCTCGCCAGTCATCCTTGCAAGCTAGGTAAACCTTCCCTGCCTCCAAAATGCCCCCCAAAGAGGGCTGACCCTGACCCACGCCTCTGCTCTAAGGGGGAAGAGCACCACTGAGCTGCATTCTGTGAGGCAGGTAAGGGGGCAAAGCGAAGGGAAGAGCCGAAAGCACAAGTCATGCGTCAGGAAGCACGGGGCCCACACGGGGCCCGCCATCTGCACGGGGCTTTGCCATTCGGCCAGGAGGCTCATTCTGCACTGCTTTGCCCCTTCCAGGTTTCAGCGGACCCTGAGCTCTCCTTGTACGACTCGGAGGAGGACGGCCCCAGCTACTGGGACTTGGAGCAGGTAAGCTTAGGGGCAGAGCGGGGAGAAGGGCAGGGGGACCCTCTCCGATCCAAGGTGTCTCCTCCCATCCAGAGCAGTCACCTTGAAAGCAGTGACATTTCTTTCTCATCTTTCTTTTAATAGCAAATCTTCATTCTTGTCACTCCCTAAAGGCCTTGTGGGGGAAGGGAGACACTGGGCCAAGTCCTAGAGAGCTAATAATCTATTCTTAACTCTTGAACACATCCAACAGGTGACCCAGGGCAAGCCACACAACCCACCAGGCCCCAGTTTTTATCATTGTGAAACAAGGGAAGTATGGGTGATGCCCACCCCCTCTACCTCTCAAGACGAGCAGAGGGCCCTGTGTTCTCTCAATAATTCACCAGGCATTTGAGAACAGCCTGCTGCTCACCTGACACAACGCCAGGGTGAGCATATCACAGGGAACCAAGCAAAGACCCCTGCCCTTAGGACATTTACATTCTGGTAGGGTCAGATGGACTCGAGGGCTACAAATTCGAGGAGTAGAACTATTACTGCATGTTGACAGTCCTTAAGAGCTAAGAGCCACACAGATGTGAAATATTGCTATCCGCATAGCGCCCTGTGGCCCCACAATGACTGCTCACACTACCCCAGTGCTCCGGATTCAAGGAGACCAGAGGACTCAGTTTAGAGAGATCTGGCTTTGGGTCAGTCGGATATAACGTCTCATTTTGTGCCACTTCCCATTCTCTTTGGCGTGAGCCCCATGGTCCTCTGGACACGCCTCCGAGAGTGCTGACAGCTGATGGGAGGCAAGAGGAAATAGAGGCAGTGCCGGCAAGGGCCAGCAGACTGGTGTCTGTGCCCCTGTAGAATCTACACCATATTCCACAAAAAAAACCCTGGATAGGGTCAGAATAGCTTATCAGAGCAAGAAAGGAGTTAGAGCTCGTCTAATCTCAACCCTCATTGTACCTAATGAAGAAAATGAAGCTAAGAAGGAGGGAGAAGCATGTGAAGGCCCCACAGCACCCCCGAGGCAATGCAGAGTCAGCTGCCGAGCATCTTCTCCTGCTGCTTCTGTACTGCCTCCTAGACTGACCTCTTAGTTCACCTTTTAGGCTGACTCTGCCTCTCCCGTTCATGCACGTACGCACGCACGCACGCGCACACACACACAGTCACACTCACACACACTCATGATGCCTCCTTCTGGCCAAAGGCTCACAGGATCACCTCGTGGTTGCCGCCACTCTGAACTCAGCGGGTCTGATGCTCTCCCTTCCCTCCCCTTCCCTCCTGTGGCCCTGCAGCAGATGTTTGGGAGCATGTTTCACACAGAGACCCTGACAGCCCTGTGAGGGCCCAGCTGTTCCCACGCTGCCTCCAGAGCACCTGGCACTTGAGACTTCCGTGGAGGATGAGGCTGGCTCCCAGGACTGGCGGCTGGAGGGTGCAGCTCCACCAGGACTTCAGCTCCTCCCTGCCCTCCTCCTCCTCCTGCCCCCCTCTCGTCCCCCTGGCATCTCTAGAGTGACCCAACCTCAGCAGCAGAGAGCCACCTCCTCACCCTTCTGGGGACCCTCAGGGCCCCAGCCAGCAATGCGCGAGCCTCCTGCGCCTGTGCCCTGCCTGTGGCAGCTGACCAGGACCTCCTGACCACAGACTTCAAGCACAGAGGGGAAAGGTCAACCATGCTCACCTAGAGGGCAAGCTTCAAAAGTGTCCTTGGCCTGCACGGCCTGATGTCAGAGAGTGTCAAGCTGCCGCAGGACACAGGAACAAACATGCTTAGGCCTCCGCGGCTTGCCCCCTATGTCCCTGGCAGCTCTGCGCCCCTGGGGCCGGGTGCTCTCGACAACTCAGGAATCTCTGTCTGGGTGATCATGTGTCATTCTTCCACATCTCAAGGCTGCTGAGACCTCCACTGCTAGTTGGACTAGAGCCTGGGGAGTGGCCAGGACCCTCAAGGCCACCAGAGATACCCCCTACTTCCCAGAGGCAGCCCACTACAGGAGCTGCTCTGGTTTCCTGAAACCGTATCACTTCCCCATGCCCTCGGGGGCCCCTCCCTTCCACTGGAGACTGGGTAGGGAACAAAAAGGAAAGGGGGGTGGCTGGCAGAATTCTCTGGCCACGTAGCAACAGAGACCAGTTATTCTGCATAAAAGCTTTTGGGAATCTGTCCTTGTCCTGGAGACCTAAAGGCAGAAGGCGTGCTAGTGCCAACCCAGAGCACACTGGGGGAACCTGAGCCCCGAGAGTCCTCGGGACCTCAGAAGTACCTCCCCCACTTGGGAAATTTGCCCCATCCTTCTTCATCTGGCAAAAAGCCAATGATTTTGACTCTCCGTTATCCGCATGGGGCTGAATCCTTCAGCCAGGCAGAGGGGGAAGCCTCCCCTAGGGCCAGCTGCGTCCCGCGGCTGGGAGCAGAACGCGCCGGAGGGCCGGTCCACATGGATCTTCCTCCACAGGGATTCCTGAACGAACTCAGAGCCTAAGGCCATCTTCTTCCAGGAAACATGAGAAGAGGGGTTAAGCTTTCCATGTATATAAGGAGGTAACTCGAGGAAACCCACTATAGACTTGAAAATGAATAGGCTCCGTGTGCAAGTGTTTGGGAAATGGCCGTGGAAGTGCACAGAAAACCTTTTCCTCTCCCTCTGCTGCTTCTCCCAAGCTTCTTCAGCCTAATGACCCCTGCCCAACAGGTTGGGCTGGCCCAGCCTAGAAACACATCCCAATTTCCACCTTCAGCCTGACTTGCATTATGTGTGTGTTGAGTGAGCTGGTCAGCCAGCAAGTCTTGTTAGAGTTAAAGGAGTAGGTACTGGCAAAGAGCCAACAGATTCTTGGCCTACAAGCATTCCTTCTGTTAATTCGTTATGCCATCTGGCTGCCGATGGAACTCAAAACTTGGAAGGCAGAAGACAGTGTTGTATGGGATTCACTGTGTCCAGCACCCAAAGTGCCAAATACCAGAAGGACAAGAACCTTAGCCAATGACAGCTCCCCCTCCCCTACTCCACCTCCTTCAAAGTCCACCTCAGGTCCAGCAGGTGGGGGAGGGTCACAGAACCTCAGGACAGCCTGCAGCAGAGGTTCCCTTTGAACCAAGTATCTAAGCCCTTGAGGTCTTGACGAAGCAGCCATTAACTCCCAGGCCAGCTACAGCCTTAAAAGGGATTGCTCTCTTACAGTGCCTGGAGTTGGGGCTCAAGGAGGGATCCCAAAATGTGTCCAAGTGTATAAGTACTTGAACAGCCAACAGTGGAGGTAAAACTGGAAACACATGCGCAGGGAGGGAGCCATGGGAGAAAACTTCACATCTGGAATACTTTGGCAAGAGTACGAATTCATACAGACCACTCTCTGGACAGGACTTAGGCAGGAAAGGAAGACAAGGTAATGGAATAATCCAGAATTTCAACACTTTTGAATGTTCTTAGAGATACTGACCTGTGATGAAGTGGTTCCTGGGAAGACCGGGATTTCGAGATATTTGTGTAATTTATTTAATTTAAATGCCATTCGCCTTTTGTTCATTTTGGTAATAAAGTGGTTTTGAAATATGAACAAATGCATGTGTTTGGAAGGTTTTACAGAGGGGCAACCCGAGCCACCTCCACGAAAAGCTGGCCTGCTTTGCGCTGTCCCGGGGGGATGCAACGAGGAGCTAAGACTTTTGTGAGTCTCCCGGCTCCTCCCCAGGTTCTGGTTTTCCACTCCTGGGAATGAATAAGCTTCCATGAGCCAGATGAAGAGCAGAGATCACGGAGAGAAGACTGGACTAAGGGATCTGCACACCTGGGACCAGCTCCCAGAGCCAACTCATAATTTCTGTGGCTGCTGGGGAGTCTGAGTCCCTTTATCTCCCGCACATCCTTCATGCTCTAATTCTTCAACATTTGCAAGCTGTCTGTTAAGGGCCAATCCCATCAATACTCAGCAAAGTTTTTCAGAATCCCCTTGGTTTGGGGGAGCTCACAGCCTAATCTCAGCTTTCCCTCCCCCTCATTCAGGAGACAAAGCCAGGAACAAAGACCACAGAACTCCAGTGTCCAACACGCTAGGCTGACACCCAGCATGTTTGCTAACAGTAAGAAATGGAAAGAAATCAGAGGAGTCATAGCGAAACAGCAAAGGCGTGAAGGAGACAAATATGATGAAAGGGGAAAGGGAGGAAGGACTAGAGACAAGACAAAGCAAAGAGGGAAGGGAGATGAGTGATCAGTGGGGTAGATCCGTGGGCACAAACAGATCTGGAGCGCTGGGAAAGGAGAAATGGGTGGGAGAGGACAATCCACTGCAGAGGCAGGGAAGTGAGCCGCACAATGATGTTTATGGAAAATAAACTAATCTTGCTTTATTCTGCTATTCAGCTGCCCTGCAAGATTGGAGTACATTAGAATTAATATCCCTCCCATTTGAATTTTATGTTTTTTTAATGATGCTATTTAAGCCTCAATCTCCTGAAAGCAGACCCGGAGACAAAAGTTTGTGTACAAGCATTTAGGACATGATCCTTTGGTAGGGAACCAAAGTGAAAGGCAGGAGGCATGAACCAGGGAGGGAGGGGAAGCCAGCACAGGACTGAGTCACTGAGGCAGCCGCTGTGGAGGGCCGCTGGGTTCCACCCCACTGGCCTTCCCACAAGCCCTGAGCAGTGCGTCTCTGATTGTCCCGGAGAAACAGCTGACCATCTTCCATTGATCAAGGGCAACACCAAGGTATTTACTCTCCACCAAATTACAGGTTACATGCATATGAGGGCAGAACAGTTCCCAAGGTGTCCCCAGGCCATGGCATCAGAGAACCCCCCTCCCAACCCAGGGCAGAAAGAGGTGTGCATGGCTCCAGGGTGGCACCAGCAGGTAAGGCTGCTCAGAAATGTTACCCCAGCAGAGACTTAGTAGAAGAGCTGTGAGTGGCAAATAAGCAGCATCTAAGTCAGATGCATTTCCTTAACTTCTCATCTTAGAACCTATTTTTTACCTTTAGTCGTAAAACTACAATAGGGTTTTAGCAGTCTTTAGAAGTCAAAATATCTGTAAGATGTTAACTAGACTTATTCTGGTGATCATTTCACAATATATACTAGTATCAAATCCATATGTAGTACACCTGAAACTAATATAAGGTTGTATATCAATTATATCTTCATTTAAAAAATCTGTACGATAACCAGCCACCATTCTAAACGGGATAGGGTACTTTTAAAACTGTGAATTCCTAAGCATGGTCTCTAATATGATACGTTACTGAAAGGAATCAGGGCTCCCCAAAGAAATGACTGATTCCAACGCCAGGGGAGGGTAGGTACAAAATGAATCCCAAACAAATTTTCATGCCAGAAAGCAAGGAATTGCTCAAAAAAAAATGATGGAGGCATGTCACAAGGTCACATGAATGAGATTAAAGTAGCTTCTATTAGCCAAATGTGAGACAATTTGAGCACCAAAATAAATACAATGATGAATTTTAAGCCATTGAAATAAAGAATCAAGTGCATACCAATGATAGATAATTGTAGAGGTGTGGCAGTATTTATTTTTAATATCTAGTAGAGTAGGATTAGTCCCCATTGATAATACAGTTTCTTATTCAAGGATATGCTATTACTTTCCATTTGTTCACATCACCTTTTGATGATGGAAGCAGTGTGTCTTCATATATATCTTACACATTTCTTAAGTTTATTCCTAATTATTTTTTTAACTTTTTAACTGCCTTTTCCATTATAAATGGAATCTTTTTTATTATATTTTCTTTTTTTCTGCTTCACTTTTTAAAAATTTAATTTAATTTATTTTTATTGGAATAAAGTTGACATACAGTATTATATTGGTTTCAGATATACAACCTAGTGACTTGATAATTATACACATAACTGAAATGCACAGTCAGTGTAGTTACCCCATTATCATACCAAGATCCTCTATTATAGAAAATTCTCTGGTTATATTCTCTGTGTCGCACTTCCATTCCTGTGTCTAACTTATTTTACACATTGCACCTTGTGCCTCTTTATCACCTTCACCTATCTTACCCATTCCTCCATCCCCTTCCCTGTGGTAACGAACAGTCTGTTGTCCATATGTGTGGGTCTGTTTCTTTTTGTTTGTTTGCTTTGTTTTTTAGATTCCACATATAAGTGAAATCATATGGTATTTGTCTTTCTCCACCTTGTTTACTTCACTTAGCATAATACCCTTTAGGTCCATCCATGCTGTCACAAATGGCAAGATTTCTTTCTTTTTTGTGGCTGAATACTACTCCATTGAGTATATGTACCACATCTTCTTTATCCAATCATCTATTGAGGGACACTTTGGTTGCTTCCATATCTTGGCTATTATAAATGATGCAGCAGTAAACATAGGGCTGCATACATCTTTTTGAATCAGGGACTTTGTTTTCTTCAGGTAAATTCCTGGAAGTAGAGTTATTGGGTTTTATGATATTTCTATTTTTAGTTCTTTGAGAAACCTCCATACTGCTTTCCACAGTAGCTGCACCAATGAACATTCTCACTAACAGTATAGGAAGGTTCCCTTTTCTCCACATCTTCACCCATACTGTTATTCCTCAACTTTTGGATAGTAGATATTCTGACTGGTACGGGGACATACCTCACTTAGCTTATTTACCTCATTGTAGTTTTGATTTGCATTTCCCTAATGATTAATGATGTGGAGCATCTTTTCATGTGTCTGTTGGCTATCTCTATGTCTTCTTTGGAAAAATATCTGTTCAGGTCCTTCTGCCCATTTTTTAATTGGATTATTTGTTTTTTGGTGTTGAGTTGTATGCATTACTTATATATGTTGAATGTTAACCCCTTATCAGATGTATCATTTGAAAATATATTCCCCCATATTGTAGGTTGCCTTTTTGTTTTGTTGAGGGTCTCCTTTGCTATGCAGAAGGTTTTTAATTTGATATAGTACTGCTTGTTTATATTTGCTTTTGTTTCCCTTGCCCAGGGAGATAGATCCAGAAAAAAAATTTATGCTGATGTTCATCAGTCTTGCTTATGTTTTCTTCTAATAGTTTTATGGTTTCATGTCTTACGTCTCACATTCAGGTCTTTAATCCATTTTAAGTTTACTTTTGTGTATGGCATAAGACAGTGATCTAGTTTCATTCTCTTATATGTGGCTGTCAAGTTTTCCCATCACCATTTATTGAAGAGAGTGTTTTTCCCCATTGCATATTCATGCTCTTTTGTCATATATTAATTAAGCGCATACGCATGGTTTTATTTCTGAGCTCTCTATCCTGTTCCATTGATCTATGGGCCTGTTCTTGTGCCAGTACCATACTGTTTTGAAAATTGTAACATTGTAGTGTAGTTTGAAATCAGAGAGTGTGATGCCCCCAGTTCTGTTCTTTTTTCTCAAGATTGCTTTGGCTATTCCAGGTCTTTTATGGTTCTCCACATATAAGTGAAATCATATGGTATTTGTCTTTCTCCACCTTGTTTACTTCACTTAGCATAATACCCTTTAGGTCCATCCATGCTGTCACAAATGGCAAGATTTCTTTCTTTTTTGTGGCTGAATACTACTCCATTGAGTATATGTACCACATCTTCTTTATCCAATCATCTATTGAGGGACACTTTGGTTGCTTCCATATCTTGGCTATTATAAATGATGCAGCAGTAAACATAGGGCTGCATACATCTTTTTGAATCAGGGACTTTGTTTTCTTCAGGTAAATTCCTGGAAGTAGAGTTATTGGGTTTTATGATATTTCTATTTTTAGTTCTTTGAGAAACCTCCATACTGCTTTCCACAGTAGCTGCACCAATGAACATTCTCACTAACAGTATAGGAAGGTTCCCTTTTCTCCACATCTTCACCCATACTGTTATTCCTCAACTTTTGGATAGTAGATATTCTGACTGGTACGGGGACATACCTCACTTAGCTTATTTACCTCATTGTAGTTTTGATTTGCATTTCCCTAATGATTAATGATGTGGAGCATCTTTTCATGTGTCTGTTGGCTATCTCTATGTCTTCTTTGGAAAAATATCTGTTCAGGTCCTTCTGCCCATTTTTTAATTGGATTATTTGTTTTTTGGTGTTGAGTTGTATGCATTACTTATATATGTTGAATGTTAACCCCTTATCAGATGTATCATTTGAAAATATATTCCCCCATATTGTAGGTTGCCTTTTTGTTTTGTTGAGGGTCTCCTTTGCTATGCAGAAGGTTTTTAATTTGATATAGTACTGCTTGTTTATATTTGCTTTTGTTTCCCTTGCCCAGGGAGATAGATCCAGAAAAAAAATTTATGCTGATGTTCATCAGTCTTGCTTATGTTTTCTTCTAATAGTTTTATGGTTTCATGTCTTACGTCTCACATTCAGGTCTTTAATCCATTTTAAGTTTACTTTTGTGTATGGCATAAGACAGTGATCTAGTTTCATTCTCTTATATGTGGCTGTCAAGTTTTCCCATCACCATTTATTGAAGAGAGTGTTTTTCCCCATTGCATATTCATGCTCTTTTGTCATATATTAATTAAGCGCATACGCATGGTTTTATTTCTGAGCTCTCTATCCTGTTCCATTGATCTATGGGCCTGTTCTTGTGCCAGTACCATACTGTTTTGAAAATTGTAACATTGTAGTGTAGTTTGAAATCAGAGAGTGTGATGCCCCCAGTTCTGTTCTTTTTTCTCAAGATTGCTTTGGCTATTCCAGGTCTTTTATGGTTCCAAATAATTTTAGGATTCTTTGCTCTAGTTCACTAAAAAATGCCATTAGTATTTTGAGAGGGATTGCATTGAATCTGTAAATTGCAAAATTTGGGCAGGATGGCCATTTTGACAATATAATTCTTCCTGTCCATGATCATGGGATAGCTTTCACCTTATTTGTGTCTTCTTCAGGTTCTCTCATCAGTGTCTTACAGTTTTCAGAGTACATGTCTTTTACCTCCTTGGTTAGGTTTATTCCTAGATACTTTATTCTTTTTGATGCAATTGTAAATGTAATTGTTTCCTTGACTTCTCTCTGCAAGATAATTGTTAGTATATAGGAATGCAAAAGATTTCTGTATACTGATTTTGTATCCTGCAAGTTTGCTGAATCCATTTATTAGTTCTAACAGTTTTTGATGGATTCTTTTATTATATTTTCTAACTGGCTGTCATTTGCATATAATATTGATTCCTATATATTAATTTTGTACCCATATTACCTACTGAATTCCCTTACAGTTGTAATAGTTTTGTAACAGTTTGACAGTTGATTATTTCAGGTTTGACAGCTATATCTCCTATGTCTGCAAATAATTATAATTTTGCCTCCTTTTCAAATTTTATACCTCTAATCTCTTTCTTTTATCTAATTGCCTTGACTAATACCTGAAAAATAATATTAAATAATAATGGTGACAGTTGACATTCTTTTCTTGTCTCTGACTTTAATGCAAATGTTTCTGTTTTTTTCTCATTAAACATAATTCTGGCTTTAGCATTGGGAATACATACTTTATCATTTTAGACTTTTATCAAGAATGGATATAAAGAGATCAATGTCTGGCATGATAGTGTGTGGAGCTCCACTGACCAGCAACCTAGTGAAACTGGTGAAAATTAAGAAAAAAGAACAGAAAACACTTTAGTCTCTAGAAATAGTACTAAGAGCAAATGGTAAATGAATAAACATCTATTTAAGAAATAACTATCAGAATAAAATAGATATGAGAGAAGAAAACATAGAGGTAAATCTTTATGACCTTGGATTTGACAAAGAATCTTAGACACCAAAAGCAGGAACAATAAAAGAAAAATAGGTAAATTGGACTCATCACAATTAAAAACTTTTGTACTTCAAAAGACACCATCAACAAAGTAAAAAGACAACTCACAGAATGGGATAAAATATTTGCAAATCATAGGTTTCACATACGATTGCATATGATTGATACAAGTCCCCATGGTAGCAGACTTGTATCTAGAATATATAAAGAACGCTTAGAACTCAATAATAAAAGACAACCCAACTTAAAAATGGGCAAAAGATCTAAATAGACATTTCTCCAGGGAAGATATACATATGGCCAATGGACACATGAAAATATCCTCAAACCATTTGTCACCAGAGAAATGTATATCAAAACCACAAGATATCACTTCTTACCCACTAAGATGTCTCAAGTCAAAAATTCAGATATTAAGTGTTGGCAAGGACATGGAAAAATCAGAATCCTCATACATTGCTGGTGAGGATGCAAAATGGTGCAGCCACTTTGGAGAACAATAAGGCAATACATTAAATGACTAAATATAGGTGCCATATGAACCATCCACTCTACTCCTAGATATATATCCAAGAGAGAAATTAAAACACATGTTCACACAAAATCTTGTTCATGAATGTTTATACCAGCATTATTCAACGTATCCAAAAGGTAGAAATGTAAATGTCTATCCATGGATGAAAGGATGGATAAATGCATATGGTACATCCAAACAATAGAATATTATTCAGCCATAGAAAGGAATGAAGTACTGACATGCTACAACATGGACAAACCTTGAAAAACACAGTAAGTGAGAGAGTAGCCAGTCACAAAAGGCCACATACTTTATGATTCCATTTATATGAAATATCCAGAACAGGCAATTAGAAACAGAAAGTAGATTAGTGGGTGCTTAGGGCAAGAGAAAGGAAGATGGGGGGAAATAGGGGATGATAGCGAAAGGGTATGGGGTTTCTTTTTGAGGTGATAAAACGTTCTGAAGTTGACTGTGGTGATGGTTGCACAACTCTGAGAAAATACTAAAACCATTGAATTATACATTTTTAATAAAGGAAAGAAAATTACATCTACACACCTTTCACAAAGTGCAGTATCATGCATAGAGAATGTAAATGGACTACAGCTAGATATAAGGTATGGACAAACCCCACCAACACAATGAAAAAAGCAAATTGCCTAAGACTACACACAGCATGCTGTCATTTTTAGAAAAGCAAGCAAAACAAACTCTTTCTCTTTCCTTATATGTATTTTAGGGATCATACATACGTGGTAGAATGAGTTAAAGCACCCTCATAGATACGTACCATTTCAGATGGTTGTTACCTGAGCAGGGAATTGAAGGACAGGCACTAGGACACACACACTCACACCCCTTCAATGTTATTGATTACTGTGGGATAGAAGGCGTGGGGAGGGGGGCTGTCACTGGTGTTCATGTTATTTGCCTTGCATATTGCATTGCATGTATCCTTTAAGTATCAAACATTACATGGCAAGAGAATTTAAAGAATATTTAAAGACAGGAAAATGTTTATGACATAATGTGAAAGGAAAGAAATAGAATATAGAACTTTGTATATAGTATGCATGTTTCATTTAAAAACACACTTTATAGGTATTTGTGGGCGTAGAAAAAAGATTGAATAACACATCAAAATATTATGAGTGACTATCACTGATACTGTTTTTTATTCTTAATATAAAAGGCACAAGTTTAGAACTTTTTAAAGGTGACATATCAAAATGTATTATGACCTTGAAATAGGGAAAGACTTATTGAGAAAACAAAAAGGACTAATCTTAAGAGAAACATGGTTTTTTTTCTTTATACTTTCCTGTTTCTCCAAATAATTCACAAGGGCATAAATGAATATTAATTTTACAATCATAAAAATGTTAAAGTTTGGTAGGAATTAAACTATTTTGTATTAAAAATTCTGCCAACGTTCACTTTAAAAAATTCATTTAAACTCTTTTTAATGTTCTAGATCTTAAGCTGGGTGGTGGAACACAGAAATGTTCATTAGATTATTCTTTACAGACTCTGTGTCAAGTGTTTCAAAATACTGTTTTTAGATTGCTACTGAAAAGCAATAGCTGTAGCAATCTATCGCCTGTAGTTGTTGTTTGTTGTAAGTAGGATCGGTGAATGGGGTAGGCCAAGGCACCCTTCCTCTGCCCCGACCTTGGGCCAACATCACGAGTGTGAATTTGCAGCTTTGGTTATGAACAGTTACATGGCCCTACTGCCTGTATAGGCCTTATTGAATTTTTCTACAGATTTCTAAGGTATGAGAGTGGTGCCAAACTAAATTGCATCAAGGGATCTGGAAGGAATGGTTTCTTCTGGCTGCAAGAAATCTATAATTTTATACCAGTGTGTCCCAAGACTTTTCTTCTTTCATAATGATCCGCTACTCGGAATAGCTATGAAATTTCAGTTTGTTGAATACATCACAATTATTAACACATAATCTCCCTAAAAACCCTTCAGTCTTAATCTGCCCAGAGTTGCAAAAATCGCAGTGCTAACATTAGTATCAAAAACACTTTCGGCCAACTCTTAACCAGGGGCAAAGCCTCTGAGCTGATTATTTCCAAGCAACATCTATAGATAGAGCAATACTGCTCCAACTTCAGATGAAATCAACCCAGGGACCCTGATAGCTCCCCCGAAGAATCTGGGGGAATGGGAGTCAAGTCCTAAACTTCAGAAGAACTGAAAAGCAGATTAAGGTCTGATGCGCTGTTTCCCTTTTCCCCCTTAAATTTCGTTTGTTGTCATATAACAAGGGATTAGAGTATCTCAAAGCAGAAGATCAAGTGCAGTCTAGACCTGCCTCCGGCCTGGGACGCTCATCTGGGCTCTGCGTCCACCTGCTGCGAGGCGAGAAACCGCAAACCCCCAAAAGACCTTGCGGACCTGGGGCGGGGCCTTCCGCTCGATAGAGCGTCTCGCAGCTCCAGGCGAGCGACGATTGGTCAGGTCCGGGGATGGGGTGGGGCCAAGTCCGTTGCGGGGATTGAAGCAGAGGCCCGGTAGGAGGGCCGGCTGGTCCAGCCTGCAGCCGCCGACGGGCCGCGGGACGCGGAGAAGCATGGCCCGGCCAGCCGTTTGCGCGCTTGCCCTGGCGGCGGTGCTGCTGCTCGGTGTCGCCACCGTCTCCAGATCCAAGGGCCTGCGGGGCAAGGAGCATCAGGGGACGCCCCGGATCCCTTCTCAGTTCAGCCAGGAGGAGCGCGTCGCGATGAAGGAAGCTCTGAAAAGTGAGCCTGGGCCCCCTTCGGCCCGCTTGTGCTCAGATACGGGTTCTCTCCTCGGGCCACCCTGTGGCTCCCCTGTCCCGCCGAAGAGGGTTCGATACTCACACTCAAAAACTCCGGCGCACCTCCGCCCAGCCGCGTCCGCGCACCTCGTGCCCCGGCCTGGGGACGCCACCCTCCCCCCAGACTGGCTTCTGGGGACTCTGCTGTTCCCTGCGTAGCCTAGCTAGAAGCTAGCTTCACCTCCGCCCCCGCTGACCTGGCCGCCACGGGCCCTACCTCTTGATTGCCTTGAGGATTGCAACAGCCTTTAATTGTACTTTCAACCTTAGAACGTTTTCACTTCTGTTACATCTCTATGCCAAAAAATAAGACTAAATAATCTCAGTATTATCTCCCCAGGAGGGAAATTGAAGCTTAGGTCAGTTAAAAGATCTTTCCCAGGAGAGAGGGAGAGAGCCCTGGGTGACAGCATCTAGTACCAGTACTTGTTTATTTTTACTTTTGTTTTCCTTGCCTGAGGAGACATACCCAGAAAAAAATTACTAGGTTTGATGTTCAAGAGTTACTGCCTATGTTTTATTCGGGGGGTTTTATGGTTTCAGGTCTTATATTTAGGTCTTTAATCCATTCCGAGTTTATTTTTGTGTATGGTGTCAGTGATCCCATTTCATTCTTTTGTATGTAGCAGTCCAGCTTTTGCTGAGCAGCACCATTTGTTGAAGAGACTGTCTTTTCCCCGTTGTATATTCTTTCTGCTTTGTCATATATAAATTGACCATCTATGCGTTGTTTTATTTCCAGCTCTATATTCTGTTCCATTGGTCTATGTATCTGTTCTTGGGCCAGCACCACACTCTTTTGAATACCAAGACTTTGCAGTATAGTTTGAAATCAGGCAGTGTGGTAGCCCATCTTTGTTCTTCTTTCTCAAGATTCCTTTGGTTATTTGGTGTTTTGGGGGTTCCATATAAATTCTAGGATTCTTTGCTCTAGTTCATTAAAAACTGCCTTTGGTATTCTGATAGGGATTGCACTGAATCTGTAGATTGCTTTGGGCAGTGTGGCTATTTTAACAATATTAATCTTCCTATCCTGCCTTTGCTGTTTGCTTTTACCAATGAAATTTAAATTTTTTCCTTTCTCCTCGTTTATGGCCTTTTCTTCTAAAAGAAGTCCNTTTTTTTTTTCATTTCATTTATTGTATTCTTCATCTCTGATTCATTCTTTTTTATATTTCCTATCTCTTTGTAGACGGTCTCCCTGAGTTCCTCTCTTCTTCTCTCAAGTTTTGTCATCATATTTATAACCATTACTTTAAACTCTTTGTCAGGCAGATTGCTTAACTGTTTCCTTTAGTTCCTTTTCTGAAGTCTTGTCATGTTCTTTTGTTTCAGGTATAGTCCCTCTGTGTCCTCAGTTTGTTTGACTCTATGTATTTGTTTCTACCAGTTAGGCAAAAAGGCTATTCCTCCAGTTCATGAAGGTGTGACCTTCTGTGGGAACATCCCCTGAGTAGATTGCAAATGCCTGGTGGTTTTTAGCTGGCTGGCTGGAGGCTATGTGGGCATGGGCCAGAGGTCTCCTGGATGGGTCCAGGGAACTCCTAGGTAGGCAACAGGCCAGGGCCTCACTCGCAGGCAGACAGGGCAGAGAGGCAGAGTCCAGGGGTCTCCTGGGTGGATGCCAGCCAAGGTCACATAAATGGGGTGGCTAGGGGTGTATGGGTACAGTCTGAGGATCCCCTGGGTTGGTGCCCAGTTGGGGCTATGCAGATGGAGTAGCTAGACATGGAAGGGTGCAGGCAGGATGAATCCGAGTGAGCACTGTGCATGAGTCCATGCCCTGTGCTGAATCTCTGACAGGCACGTTTGGCTGTGGGCAGGGAGGCTGCCTTCGTCACGTCTGGAGCTGGCATGTACACCCGCTCCTGCTCCCGCTCTTGCCCACCCTGTCAGTGTGCATGGGGACGTAAGGTTTCTCACCCGCCTCCAGTCCTCAATTCCAATCTGCACAAACAGTGTGTGGGGGTGGGGAAAGAAGTAAACAGTGGTGCTCACTGGCACCTCCAGTCCTAGAAAGAGTTCCAGCAGTGACCTTGACATTTGATGGGTGCTTCAGTTCTGAAAATCAGCTTCCTTCCATTATAGTCATGGTGGGCTTTTTGAAACTCTCCAGCTCACGGCGTTTTCCTCTGCCCCTGGGGAAGGGAAGCCTGTGCTGGGTAGCTCAGTGATACCCCTGCTGCAGGTCCGCACTGGCGGTGGGGTTTCCCCCGTTACCGTGTCTCCCTCCCTCCTGCCGCTTTTGATGCAGTCTCTGTATCCCTCATTGTGTACCAGGTGCTCACCCAGCCTCCGTTCTTCCCCAGGATGAACTGCTCCATGGGTGGGTGAGGGTTCGGTGTGTACGCGGGAGGAGGTGGGCTCAGGCTCTTTCTACACTGCTTGCTGCCTTGGACACTCTCCCCACCACTGTGCTTTTGGATATCTAATCAAATATTCTCATAATTCATTGTTTCCCACCCAGTGGTGTTTGCATTTGACAGTGGAACTCTTGAAGGATGTAGAGCTTTCACAGCTAAAGGAGGAGCCTAGTGGCGTTTCAGGAACTGAGAAAACTGGGTGGAGTGGATGAGATTGTCTAGGACTGAAGAGCTTGTTTGAGAGCTTCTAAGTCTGCCCCTTTGCAGGCATCATGTGCCCAAAAAGCTGGCTTTGGCTGAGAGATCAGTGAACCTCTGGCTGAGCCAGGCCGTGAGGATGAGGCTACTCACTGCACAGAAAAATACCCAGAGCCCCATTCGTGCTGGGAACCAGGGCCGTGCCTCCTGGGGTCCATCAAAGTCTCCAGCTCACGGCGTTTTCCTCTGCCCCTGGGGAAGGGAAGCCTGTGCTGGGTAGCTCAGTGATACCCCTGCTGCAGGTCCGCACTGGCGGTGGGGTTTCCCCCGTTACCGTGTCTCCCTCCCTCCTGCCGCTTTTGATGCAGTCTCTGTATCCCTCATTGTGTACCAGGTGCTCACCCAGCCTCCGTTCTTCCCCAGGATGAACTGCTCCATGGGTGGGTGAGGGTTCGGTGTGTACGCGGGAGGAGGTGGGCTCAGGCTCTTTCTACACTGCTTGCTGCCTTGGACACTCTCCCCACCACTGTGCTTTTGGATATCTAATCAAATATTCTCATAATTCATTGTTTCCCACCCAGTGGTGTTTGCATTTGACAGTGGAACTCTTGAAGGATGTAGAGCTTTCACAGCTAAAGGAGGAGCCTAGTGGCGTTTCAGGAACTGAGAAAACTGGGTGGAGTGGATGAGATTGTCTAGGACTGAAGAGCTTGTTTGAGAGCTTCTAAGTCCGCCCCTTTGCAGGCATCATGTGCCCAAAAAGCTGGCTTTGGCTGAGAGATCAGTGAACCTCTGGCTGAGCCAGGCCGTGAGGATGAGGCTACTCACTGCACAGAAAAATACCCAGAGCCCCATTCGTGCTGGGAACCAGGGCCGTGCCTCCTGGGGTCCATCAAAGGGACAATGGTTTCAAGGCAGAGTGATACCGTAGAAGCAATTTGTAGCAGCTTCCCATTTAGGGCCAGGGTTCAAAATCTCCTGTACATCTTTCTGCATCCCCATTTTAGACTTTATTTTGCTTTAAGAACCGTACTGGCCTAAACAAACCCAAAAGACCTTGGTGTAAATCCCAGTTCTGTGACTTGTTGCAGGACGGTCTCGAGCAGCTCACTTGACCTGTCTGAGCGTATTTGGTCATCTTCAAATTAGGAAAAATTCAAAACCACTCCGTAGGGTAGCTTTGCCCTCCACAATAAGAAGCTGAATCCAAAAGAACATTTTGTGCGCAGAAGGTTGTGGGAAAACGAATGGTTGTTATCATCTGTGATCTTCCATCTCTGACTGTCTGACTCCGGTAGGTGCCATCCAGATTCCAACAGTGTCATTCAGCCCCAAGGAGTTGAACACAACAGCCCTGGCAGAGTTTGGACAATACATTCGTACAGGTCAGCTGCCAACTGTGGAAAGGGGTGGGAGAGGTAGCACTGGCGACATGATTCTCTTACAATGGGATAAAGACGCTGACTGTGTGACTGGTCAGCAGACAGTCTAGTTCCCCTGGTCCTCTTTTGACTTTGTACACCGTGGGCAGGAAGAGAAGGGAGAATCTAGGAGCTAGAATGGAAACAAAGGAGGAACTATAGATTTTTCCCCTTAGAGAACTAAGAAGGCACACACCTGTTGGGTTGGAGTTTGACCTCTCCTGATCTTTGCCCTAAACATGTGTCAGTCAATAAATATGATATAATTCCTTCTTCCCAAGCAAGTGTCCAGTACTATGTCCCCTGATCCTCCCTCCCCTACTCCATACACACACCTACACACCTACACACACACATTCCACCTAGCCAGACCCCACTTCAGATACATTACTAACACATTTCTGAGTTTCCGTGCATCAACAGCTTTGTCCTCACCCTTGACCCCCATCACCCACGAGCTCAAGAACAATGAGTCCAGGGGAAAAAGGAGCCTTGGAACTTGGCTCCTCCCCATATGAAAAGCTCATGGAGAAGAGTGAGGCCATCATCCTAAACCAAATAAAAAACAGCCCCTCCAAAGCTGTCAGGGGATCGGGGGGCAGGGGAGAAGCTGGCATAGACACAGCAGGTGGCCCCACCTCCAATGCTCTGCGACAAGTTGGTCTGGGGTCATCCCCAGCAGCCACATGGAGGCCAGCCTGGAAGACTTACTAAATAGGAGATAAAAATAGGGAAACAAATGCTAGTGACAGGGAACTAGGTAAGTCTGGCTGACAAGATAAAAGCATATTCTCTGTTTTTTTGTTTTCAAGAATCCACAGAGGTATATGTGGATTCTCCCACCAAAGCCTCGAGGCCTCGAGGAGGATAAAAGCTGGCATATCCAAGGCCACCTGTTTAGACTCATCTATGACCTGAATAACCGACCCAGGGGACATCCAAACCTGCACACACAACTGTACAGCAAGCCCTTTTACTTGCTAGAACAATCTTTTATCTCCATATAACACTAACAGTGGGAGTATTGTTTTCCAAAAGAAAAGTGTCTTTTTCTTAATATAAAGATTGTGTTTGGTTGAAGTAATTTGGATCCTGAGGCCTACTAGACTCAAAATTTAACACACTACTAGTCTGCATAGCCCTGAAACATGTACTTGTAGTAATATGTTATAGGTCGGACCAAACCAGATTTTGAGCTATTGACCATCATAATGGTGGAGTCTCGATATAAATGTTATGATGTAGTAATAGCACCTTAAAATATGGGGAAGAGGATTTTCAGAGATTGCCTGGGCAAAACAGGAATCAGACTGGCTTTGTCCCAGAAGGCTTCCTAAAGGAGGCCACATTTTTTTTAAAAAGCCAGGGGTGCATTTTCTACCAAATGGTAGGAGAAGTGAAAGGAAATTGTTAAATCTGGCTTTCTCTCTCTGCTTTTCATCTCTTTGCCTCTAGTCTTCCCTGCGGTCTTCAAAGCCAGCTTTATCCGACATGAAGTCGTGGGAGAGTACAGCCACCTGTTCACTGTCCAAGGCTCGGACCCCAGCTTGCAGCCATACATGCTGATGGCTCACATTGATGTGGTGCCTGCCCCCGCTGAAGGCTGGGAGGTGCCCCCGTTCTCTGGGTTGGAGCGTGATGGCTTCATCTATGGTCGAGGCACCATGGACAACAAGAACTCTGTGATGGTCTGAAATGCTACAGTCCTTCTGCCTTGGGGCCCTAACGATCCACCCAGGAAGCCGGTGCTCGGCTGATCCCTGGGAGGCAGGTGGTTATTGTAGAAAGAACCTTGGCTCCAGGACACCTGGGTTCCAGTCACCAGTTTGTCATTTCCCTATTCTGAGCCTTGATTTCTCCAGAAATAGGGATAGGAGTAGATAATCTCCACGGAGCCTTTCAGCTGGACATTGATAAAAGTTATGCTTTTCTCCAGGTGGTACAGATTCTGTGCAGAGCTAAGCTTCCCCAAATCCCATCACCCATTGTAATCTGTTCTCTTTGAAGAGTCTGTCCAAAGCCAGGCCACTAGCTCTGCTGCAGGCGCTGAATGTCTAGTGCCCTGGGACTCCCACTTCCATAGTAAGCCTTTTTTCTCTTATGTTGTGCTTCTGTCCCCCAGGCAATCCTGCAGGCCTTGGAGCTCCTGCTGATCAGAAACTACGTCCCCCGAAGGTCTTTCTTCATTGCCCTGGGCCATGATGAGGAGGTAGAGCCTCTTCATCCCATACTATCTCAGGGACCCCTGCCGTTTGGGGGGTGGGTGCTTCATCCTAGTCTGGTTTGCTCCTCAGCTACAGCATTTCCAGGATATGGTGTGGAGGTTTCCCAACTTCTCCGTGTACCTGTTGCCAGAACTATCTAAGGACCGTTACCAAATGCAGATTCCTGGGCCCTGTGCCATAGATCTGAATTTGTATTTTAAAGACTTTCTTTCTTTTTAGAACAGTTTCAGGTTCACAGCAAAATGAGAAGCAGGTACAGAGATTTTTTTTACCCCCTACCTGTACACATACACAGCCTCCCCCATTATCAACATCCCCCACCAGAGTAGAACATTTATTACAACTGATGAAGCTACCTGGGCGCACGATTGTCACCCAGAGCCCATAGTTTACATTAGAATTCACTCTTGGTGTTGCATAGCCTATGGATTTAGACAAATAAATAATGACATATATGCCTCACTGTGGTATCCTATAGAGTAGTCTCACTGCCCCCAAAAATCCTCTGCTTTGCCTGCTCCTCCCTCCTTCCCGCAACCCCTTCCAACTTTCAGTCTTTTTACTGTGTCCATAGTTTTGCCTTGCAAGAATGTCATATAGTTGGGATCACAGGCTGTAGCCTTTCAGGTTGGCGTCTTTCATTCAGGGATATGCATAAATCTGAATTTTTAACAAGCCCCCTGCTTGTTAAAAATCTGAGGCAGGCAGGTGGTCTGTCAATTACACCTTGAGAAACATGAGTTCTTTTGATGGAGAACTAACAGGGAGCTCAATGGATGTGTTTTATTTCCAGTGATGCCATTTACTTTGGGCGAGTCACTTCATCCACTGGGTCCCCATTTCTTCATTTGGGAAATGAGGAGGTTTGTGCCCCTTCAACTCTGACATTCCAGGATTCTGTGAGGCTGGTTTGTCTAGGGCCCTGCCTGCCCCAGGAAGGAGACTAAGGGGCAGGGGGGTGTTCTGGAGACCCTGGCTAAGCTGAGTGGGTCTCCACTAGCTCTCTCTGGAGGTCTGGCTGAAAAGGACTATGACTCTGTGCTCATTGTCGGCAGGTGTCGGGGACAAATGGAGCCCAGAAGATCTCAGCCCTGCTACAGGCACGGGGCATCCAGCTGGCCTTCATTGTGGACGAGTGTGGCTTCATCTTGGACGATTTCATTCCCGGCCTCAAGAAGCCCTTTGCCATGTGAGTGAAGCACCCCGTCCCCCACGTTGGATGGTGTCCTCGCCTCGTTCAGGATGACACCCACCTGCTATCTCTCAGCCATGCTGACATGACTCTTTAGGTTTCTCCTCTTTCTTTCATCACCCTGAGCTTCAACCACCAGTTCTGGGCTCCACCTATCCTTCCTCCTCTAGTGTAGACCCTTGTAAGCAACAGGAAGCTGACCTGGCCCCCCAGGCCCCAGCACAGATGGGCCTGTGGGATAATTCAAGGTGGAAAGAAGCCATGAGGGCCCTCTCTGACCCTCTCCTGCAGGGTTTCAGTCTCAGAGAAGGGCGCGATTAACCTCATGCTGCAAGTAAACATGACGCCAGGCCACTCCTCAGCTCCTCCGAAGGAAACTAGTGTTGGCATCCTCGCCACCGCTGTCAGCCGGTAAGCGACACCCGGCCCTGCTCCCTCGCCAGACGTGGGGTGGAAGGCCTGACACTTTCCCATTTGAATTTGATGAGGCTAAGCTTCCTGCCCTGAAGCCGGGCTAAGAAGTCAGGTGGGAGCTGCAGGGAGGACAGAGCCATCAGTACCCAGGCAAGGGCCAGAACTCAGAAGAGGATCTATGCCTGACAAGCAGGGGCCAGCAGACAGCTAGGCCAGGCAGCTGGAGCAGTCCGAAGTCCAGAAGAGCAGCGAGGAAACACAAGCTGGCAATGACTGGTAGGGCTCTCTAACGTCTCCACCTGCCCTGGCAAGAGACAAAGATAAAGAAAAGTTGCTGGTTGTGGGTGAGGAGAGCTGGGTCTGTACCAGCAGAATTCACCTCTGACTGAGTTTTTATAGTAAAGGGGAAAGAATATTCATTCAGTTAAATATTTAACCATCTACTGTATTCAAGGCTTTGTGCCCAGGATGGGCGTGCGGCGGTGGGATAAAAAGCCCCTTTCCTCCAGGAGCTCTCAGTGAGCAGAGGAGACTGAATTCAGCTGCAGTGCACGGGTGATGAGAGACCGGCGCCCTGACTCCGCCTTGGCAGACGGGGACAGCTCCTGCTGGGGGGGTAGAGCCGGTCCTGCTCATGCTTTGAGATCTTCGAAGGGGCGGCTTGGTGGAGGTGAACAGGAGGCCTCTCAGCCAGGCCTGTTGAGCCATCCTGTCTTCCTCCTTCTCCTCTTCAGATTGTTGATCTTTGGCTGGGGTTGGGAAGTCCTGAGGACTCCATTTCTCTTCCAGACTGGAGCAGACACCAATGCCAAACATGTTTGGAGATGGGCCATTGAAGATAGCACTGCAGCAACTGGCCAGTGAGGTGTGGGAAGGAGTCTCCCAGGCTCCTGGACAGCTTGTAAAGAGGAAGAAAGGGTGGCAGAGGAGTAGCCTTTAGAGTAACCAGAGGGCCCTTCTAACCAGACCTCTGGCCATTCTCACCTCTTTCCAGCCAGTGGCTTACCCAGGAAGCCGGTGCTCGGCTGATCCCTGGGAGGCAGGTGGTTATTGTAGAAAGAACCTTGGCTCCAGGACACCTGGGTTCCAGTCACCAGTTTGTCATTTCCCTATTCTGAGCCTTGATTTCTCCAGAAATAGGGATAGGAGTAGATAATCTCCACGGAGCCTTTCAGCTGGACATTGATAAAAGTTATGCTTTTCTCCAGGTGGTACAGATTCTGTGCAGAGCTAAGCTTCCCCAAATCCCATCACCCATTGTAATCTGTTCTCTTTGAAGAGTCTGTCCAAAGCCAGGCCACTAGCTCTGCTGCAGGCGCTGAATGTCTAGTGCCCTGGGACTCCCACTTCCATAGTAAGCCTTTTTTCTCTTATGTTGTGCTTCTGTCCCCCAGGCAATCCTGCAGGCCTTGGAGCTCCTGCTGATCAGAAACTACGTCCCCCGAAGGTCTTTCTTCATTGCCCTGGGCCATGATGAGGAGGTAGAGCCTCTTCATCCCATACTATCTCAGGGACCCCTGCCGTTTGGGGGGTGGGTGCTTCATCCTAGTCTGGTTTGCTCCTCAGCTACAGCATTTCCAGGATATGGTGTGGAGGTTTCCCAACTTCTCCGTGTACCTGTTGCCAGAACTATCTAAGGACCGTTACCAAATGCAGATTCCTGGGCCCTGTGCCATAGATCTGAATTTGTATTTTAAAGACTTTCTTTCTTTTTAGAACAGTTTCAGGTTCACAGCAAAATGAGAAGCAGGTACAGAGATTTTTTTTACCCCCTACCTGTACACATACACAGCCTCCCCCATTATCAACATCCCCCACCAGAGTAGAACATTTATTACAACTGATGAAGCTACCTGGGCGCACGATTGTCACCCAGAGCCCATAGTTTACATTAGGATTCACTCTTGGTGTTGCATAGCCTATGGATTTAGACAAATAAATAATGACATATATGCCTCACTATGGTATCCTATAGAGTAGTCTCACTGCCCCCAAAAATCCTCTGCTTTGCCTGCTCCTCCCTCCTTCCCGCAACCCCTTCCAACTTTCAGTCTTTTTACTGTGTCCATAGTTTTGCCTTGCAAGAATGTCATATAGTTGGGATCACAGGCTGTAGCCTTTCAGGTTGGCGTCTTTCATTCAGGGATATGCATAAATCTGAATTTTTAACAAGCCCCCTGCTTGTTAAAAATCTGAGGCAGGCAGGTGGTCTGTCAATTACACCTTGAGAAACATGAGTTCTTTTGATGGAGAACTAACAGGGAGCTCAATGGATGTGTTTTATTTCCAGTGATGCCATTTACTTTGGGCGAGTCACTTCATCCACTGGGTCCCCATTTCTTCATTTGGGAAATGAGGAGGTTTGTGCCCCTTCAACTCTGACATTCCAGGATTCTGTGAGGCTGGTTTGTCTAGGGCCCTGCCTGCCCCAGGAAGGAGACTAAGGGGCAGGGGGGTGTTCTGGAGACCCTGGCTAAGCTGAGTGGGTCTCCACTAGCTCTCTCTGGAGGTCTGGCTGAAAAGGACTATGACTCTGTGCTCATTGTCGGCAGGTGTCGGGGACAAATGGAGCCCAGAAGATCTCAGCCCTGCTACAGGCACGGGGCATCCAGCTGGCCTTCATTGTGGACGAGTGTGGCTTCATCTTGGACGATTTCATTCCCGGCCTCAAGAAGCCCTTTGCCATGTGAGTGAAGCACCCCGTCCCCCACGTTGGATGGTGTCCTCGCCTCGTTCAGGATGACACCCACCTGCTATCTCTCAGCCATGCTGACATGACTCTTTAGGTTTCTCCTCTTTCTTTCATCACCCTGAGCTTCAACCACCAGTTCTGGGCTCCACCTATCCTTCCTCCTCTAGTGTAGACCCTTGTAAGTAACAGGAAGCTGACCTGGCCCCCCAGGCCCCAGCACAGATGGGCCTGTGGGATAATTCAAGGTGGAAAGAAGCCATGAGGGCCCTCTCTGACCCTCTCCTGCAGGGTTTCAGTCTCAGAGAAGGGCGCGATTAACCTCATGCTGCAAGTAAACATGACGCCAGGCCACTCCTCAGCTCCTCCGAAGGAAACTAGTGTTGGCATCCTCGCCACCGCTGTCAGCCGGTAAGCGACACCCGGCCCTGCTCCCTCGCCAGACGTGGGGTGGAAGGCCTGACACTTTCCCATTTGAATTTGATGAGGCTAAGCTTCCTGCCCTGAAGCCAGGCTAAGAAGTCAGGTGGGAGCTGCAGGGAGGACAGAGCCATCAGTACCCAGGCAAGGGCCAGAACTCAGAAGAGGATCTATGCCTGACAAGCAGGGGCCAGCAGACAGCTAGGCCAGGCAGCTGGAGCAGTCCGAAGTCCAGAAGAGCAGCGAGGAAACACAAGCTGGCAATGACTGGTAGGGCTCTCTAACGTCTCCACCTGCCCTGGCAAGAGACAAAGATAAAGAAAAGTTGCTGGTTGTGGGTGAGGAGAGCTGGGTCTGTACCAGCAGAATTCACCTCTGACTGAGTTTTTATAGTAAAGGGGAAAGAATATTCATTCAGTTAAATATTTAACCATCTACTGTATTCAAGGCTTTGTGCCCAGGATGGGCGTGCGGCGGTGGGATAAAAAGCCCCTTTCCTCCAGGAGCTCTCAGTGAGCAGAGGAGACTGAATTCAGCTGCAGTGCACGGGTGATGAGAGACCGGCGCCCTGACTCCGCCTTGGCAGACGGGGACAGCTCCTGCTGGGGGGGTAGAGCCGGTCCTGCTCATGCTTTGAGATCTTCGAAGGGGCGGCTTGGTGGAGGTGAACAGGAGGCCTCTCAGCCAGGCTTGTTGAGCCATCCTGTCTTCCTCCTCCTCCTCTTCAGATTGTTGATCTTTGGCTGGGGTTGGGAAGTCCTGAGGACACCATTTCTCTTCCAGACTGGAGCAGACACCAATGCCAAACATGTTTGGAGATGGGCCATTGAAGATAGCACTGCAGCAACTGGCCAGTGAGGTGTGGGAAGGAGTCTCCCAGGCTCCTGGACAGCTTGGAAAGAGGAAGAAAGGGTGGCAGAGGAGTAGCCTTTAGAGTAACCAGAGGGCCCTTCTAACCAGACCTCTGGCCATTCTCACCTCTTTCCAGCCAGTGGCTCCACTGAGACCCACAGATCTGCCTGGTGGTGCTTATCTGACACCCTAAGACCTGATACACTGACACCCTTTTGGAGCTGGTTCCCCCTCCTCAAGGCTCCTGCTGAGGGCCCCAAGGCAGACCCAGGCCACAGGCACAGGGACCCCCACGCTGGCCTGTCTGAAATCCTGCTGACCTGGTTCCTTGCCTTTCAGTTTTCCTTCCCAACCAATATAATCCTGAGGAATCTGTGGCTATTCTGGCCTCTTGTAAGCAGGTAAAATTTTATCTTTTCTTCCCTCATATCCCCCCGCCCTGAACCTACCCACCCCCCAGTTCCCTCTCCTTGGCTTACTGGGGCCAACTAATTGTCCCTCAGCCACCAGACGCGACATTGAATTCACACACGGGATGTCCCTCCTGGTCTCAAAGATCTTCAAGGCTCAGGGTAACCCGCCAGCCCATTTTTCTCTACATTGGACAGTTCTTCCTAACATCTGACCTTCGTCCTTTTGCTTTAGATTAATGGAGAGGAATTACATAACCAACACACTGGTCAGAACCACCACGGCGCTTACCATGTTCAATGCCGGGCTCAAGGTAACATCTGGTCCTTCCTGTGCTATCCCTTCCTCGCTGCCTGCCCAGCCCTCCATTCCTCGGCTTCAACTCTGGTTCCTCCTTCCTTCTCGGGTTATAGTTTGAATAATAGGAAGGCCCAGTGCTGAACTGACCTGGGCTGGGTAGGTTAGTAGCTCGTTAGCCGAGCCTCAAGAGCAAGAGTTCTAGCTAAGGTCGGCAAACTCTCTGAAACTGCTGGCCAAATTTTGTATATGTGTTTTCAGGGGTGTTTATGGCCCCCTTCAGGTTCTTTGAGTCTGGACCCCTTCAAAAAAAACAACCATGACACTAGTGTGAAAAGGAGTTACTTGGGAGTTAATTCTCGTGACCTATCCTCATTCAGCATGTTAATATTTACCTGGCATTCTGGTCATGTAGTCTAAAGGTTCCTGACCTTTCTACCACCAAGGATTGTTCTTGTTGTTCTAGATCACTCCAATTACCACTAGTACCAACAGCGCATCTTTGAGGAACACCATTCGCCTAGAGTAGAGTGTGGCCTTATGGTGCTGTAGTAATCTGCAGCCCGGGTTGAGTATGAGAATCAGTTCCTGGCATAACTGACTGGGGTGTCCGGTGTGTCAGCCGGACCTGAGCTGTCTTCACCAGCTGCCTAGAATGTTTACCAAAATAGTAGCACTATATCCTTGCATTTGAATGCTGTTTTTATCCACCCAGAATACTGGCACATTTGTTACCCCATTTGAGCCTCGTAGCAGCTCTGTGAGAATTATTGCCCCAACTGCCAGTGGGGAAACAGAGGCACAAAGAGGTTGTTATTATTTACAATCACACGGCTAATTTGTAACAGCCCTGTTCTCCTGCCCCTAGTCTCGAGCATTTTTGCACCATATAGTTCAGAGAAAGATATGCACTTGGTGGTAAGTCTGTTCTCTTATGGCTTGCAAGGAGAAAGAATCCCTCCACAGCTTAACTGTCTTCTCCAGTTAGTCCTGGGTTCTTCCTGGTCAGGCAAAGAACAGAGTCAGATTTCACAATTGGATGTAGGAAAGCCCCCCACCCGAGATCCATCATAGTCACCCTCAGGGATCAGACACCCCGGATGGGGGCCTGCGGAGATGCCGAGTGCTCTGTCCTGAGTTAGTGCTAACAGTCAGTGCTGCAGACATGGCCTGGGCGCCCCGGAAGGAGTGCCCAGAAGACAGCAGAAGCCCTGCACAGGGCCAAAAGAGAGCGGTCAGGGCGCTCACAGCAAAAGCAGTCGTGCCCTGAGCAGCCTTCTGTGACACGCTTCAGAATCAAGACACATGAATGGCTGGCCCAGAGCAGAGACACACCACTCCCTCTGAACATCACAAGGCCCAGAGAAGACAAGGGGCTGACTTAAAAAAATGAAGCCCTGGTCCTTTAAGGCAAACCAGCTTCCTCTCCCCCTGCTGGTGCTAGTTGGCATTTCTCGGGCAGGGATCACGTGTGGGGACTAGAGGTTGGCTGAGGACAAGTTTGCGGTTTTCTTTCTAGGTGAATGTCATCCCGCCGGTGGCCCAGGCCACAATCAACTTCCGGATTCACCCTGAACAAACAGTCCGGGAGGTACGTAGTCTACGTTCCTGACAACTGGTTCAGCAACAGGGAGGTGCAGCCTGTGGGAGTCTCAGTATCATATTTGTTCAATATTTTTCAAAGATGAATATCCTGTGCACCAGATACTTAGCTAGGATAGGAGAGCTCTGGTTTGGGGGAGCATGGGCTACTAAACATACTAGTAAGTGAGTAATAAAGGGCCTTTCTTCTAACCAGAGCTCTGGCCATTCTCACTTCTTTGAATACTAATAAATGATACTAATACTAATAACTGATATTGATAGCAGCAGAGAGTGGGCTTGCTTTGTGTTTGATGCTGTCCTAAGTTATACATATGCAATTTAATCCCCACAACCCTATGAGGCAGGAACTGTATTATCCTCATATAACAGGGAAAACAAAGGCACAGATCAACAGAGCAGGTGAGTGACATGCCCAGGATCACACACACAGCTGTCTAGTTCCAGACTCTGTGCTTTTAGCCACCACACTGCACTAGGATTGTAACAGGGCTGAGCACCTGGCTGTAGGACCACTACAAAAAGGGGACTGTCGTTTATCTCTGAGGGTCAAGGACATCCTTCCTGACCACTAGAAATTGGAGGTGGAATGTAAAGGACAGATAGGACTTGGCTAGAAGTAAGGCATTCAGAGTAAGGCTAAAGTGAAGTAAGGCTGATGAGTAGGATAAACTGGGGAGAGGTGATGGGGGTTGTAGTTCGGGATCAAGGCCTTGTATGCTGAGCTGAGAAGTTTGGGCTCGCGTCTGTGGACAGAAGGCCACCGCCAGAGGTCTTCAAACAGGGCTGTGATGATGCACTCAGACTTCCTTGTAGGAAGACGATGCTGGCAGTGCAGGGGAAGCTGGGAAGGAAGACAGGAGGCTGTTGCAACATCTCAGGCAGTGGGCAGGAAGGTCTGAACTGAAGCCATGGTTCAGGGCGAGGAGGGCACGTGCTGGAGTTGTGAGAGCCGTGGTGCGTGGTGAATGTGGGGAGAAAGGTAGGACACCCCCAAGGACTTTACCCTGGGAAGTTAGCCAGGTGCTGATGTCTTTACCCAAGAATAGGAATTCTGGAAAGATGAGCAAGTTCGCAGAGAAATATAATGGTTTAGAGGTTCAAGAAGCTTATAATGTATTAGTAAGCAATTATAAATACCTCTGGTCTAGAGAGAGAATGAACTAGAGATACAGGCTGGGGCATTATTAACGTAATTGAAACCTCTAGAGTCAATAAAATCCCATGGGAAGGATATGTAAGATTAGGAGAGAAGAGGGTTGAGGACAGAACTCTGCAAAGGCCTGCCAAGAGCATCAATTAGAAATTATAAAAATAAATGTGTAATTGCAAACTGTAGTGACAAAAAGGGGCTGTGAGAGAGTGTAACGAGGACGTAGGCCTTGTCTGGGGTGTCAGGCAAGGCTGAGCAGCTGCCATTGGAACTGAAAGCTACAAGGGTAAGAAGGAATTACACAAAATGTTTGGGTCATTAGGGAAGGCCAGCATATTTAAATATCAGGTTGAGTTAAAAAGAGTTCAAAACTTTAAATCTGATTTTTCAAATAATGATCAAAAGATGCAACCCAACCGTCAGGTGAATGGCGCATTCCAGAGGCGAGCAGGGTCCGGGCAGGTGGTGTTCCCTGGTCTCCGGAGCAGAGTGTTGAGGGTCAGCTGCAGGCCGACTTCCGTGGTCCTTTCTCCCTGACTTCTTCCCCATGGAGGATTTCCCTTGTCCCCACACAGGGTGGGAGGCAAGCCCCTCGTTGCAGAGGGCGGGAAGTGGGTTGACAGCCTGCCCAGAGTCACCCAGCACACAGGGGGAGCTGGGGGCAGTGTGAGCCCTGGGCTCTGCTGCTTTTCATCGAGTGCCAGCCTTTGTCCTCTCCCTGGGGGTTCACAGGGCCAGGAAGTCACTGAATTCCCCCCATTGAGCTTCTTTCCACCCGTTTTTTTCCAGCCTCATTCCAGCTCCATGCCCTTTCCTAGGGCTGTTTCCCACCAGCGGGGGCTTTCATCTCCCAGGCCCTGGCCCTCTTCCCTCCTCACTGGTCCCCAGCCACAGTGGCCTTCCTTCCCGGTCTATCTGATGAAATCCCTGGAGGCTCAAGGCCCATCCTGCCCACCTGCCTCCAAGAGGAATGGAAAGCCTCCGCCATCCCAAAGCACACCCCTTTGTCCTGGCCATCTCTTCCCCTAGTGCCCCAGCTCCACGCCTGAGGCACCCTCCCTGCTGGCCTGAGGGTGGAGGGTGCAGAGCCTTGGGCTGGGTCTGGCGGGAACAGAAAGAGCTCCCGGGGTCGTCTTCTTCCAGCTGCAACTGGTTTCCCATGTTGTAGATGTAGGTAGGTCTCGAGCACCTATCTGTGAGGATCAGGGTCTCCAGAAATGTAATGGCTATCCTGGAAAAAGGAAGGTTTGTTCCAAATGGGCCTCAAGGAGGAGAAATACGGCCCCTGGGAGAAGTTTCAAGGAGCCCCCACCCAAAGGAAATTTTTGGAATATGGCATCTTGGCTGGTAATGAGCTCCTCAGAGGCTGGCGTCCACCTGTCTAGAGTGTTACATACAGAAGGTTCCTTTCTTGCATCCTTCCTTCATCCGCCAAGTGCTTACTGAATGGCCACTGTGGGCTAGACTTGTTCTGAGCACTTGGGAAACCAGTGAACAAGACAGCCAAGATTTCCATTCTAATGGTGGAAGAGACAGCAGTGAGCAGGTAATCAAATCAAAGAACAAGGCGACTTTTTAAGAGTAAAGTACCACAAAGAAAATCATAGGATGCTGCGTCGCAAAGTGATTATAGGATGGGGGCCGGGCAGGGGTGGGGAGAGCTTCATTACTGTGGTCAGTGCCCTGAGGAGGCTTTTACACTGAGACCTGAGCGGGGGCAAAGATGTCGGGAACAGCATCCAGGCAGCAAGAGCACCAGCCTCTCTATTTTGGCAGAGGAGAGGTCCCGCTGAGGTGCCTTGTACCGTAGCGTATCTGTAGAGCACGTGCACTGCCAGCGACACAACAAGGAGAGGGGTTAGAGGCTGCAGCTCACTATAAAGAAGACTTCATGACCGGGTTACTCACACAGGGAATGGATCATAACACGCGATCGCGAGCTTCCTGCCCCTGCAAGTGTTCAAGCACAGGCTGGGTGACAACCTGTCAGCCTTACACGGGACGGGAAGCTAGACTTGCTAAACTCTGTAGATGGTACCAAGTTTTAAGTGTCTGTCGTCCTTGCCTTCAACCAGTGTACCACTCCCTTGAGAGGAAAATACATACATAAAATAGAAAACAACGTAAGTTTGGGGAATGTGCTGTAAGGACTCAGAGAAATGGGAGTTCATTGTGCTCGGAAGGAACCTTTGAGGCCTCCCTTACCATGGACGAGACCCCCTCTCCTAGCCCCACCCTGGTGACTGATTACTGCCCAGGGTGGTTCCTCTATTCTAAGCAGGCAAAGAACAGCTAATATAAATTGAGTGTGTACTATGTGCCGGGAACCTGCCTAAGCACATCACACATACCAATTCCAGTAGTGGTCACAGCCATCTTACCAGGCAGGTGCCGCTGTTAGCCTCGCGTGAACAGCGGAGCAGGCTGAGGCACAGAGGGCCAGGATCCTGCCCAAGGGCACGCGTCCACTCCATGCTCAAACTGTCTCTTCCCTCTTCTCCACCAGGTTTTTATCCTCCCTTCAAATTCTGGCTCAGCATCCAGACACTAAGGAGTCTGTCTTAAATGAACAGCACCCTGTTTCTGGCTGTATTCCGTGCCCCCCAGTTTGTGCAGACTTTGGAAGCAGTAAAGCTTCGATGTGGAGTCAAACAAGGTTTAGATACCCAACACAGCAATACTAACTGTATAACCCTGGGCAGGTCCCTAAAGGAGACAGCTCCCATTATTATTTTTTTTTGGTTCACACCTTTTAAATCTCAGGTGTCCAACATTCATAGCATCCCTTTTGTGTTCTTGGTACTGGAAACAGAGGAATGAGATAGATGGAGCCCCTGAGCTGGAATCAGGGCCTGGCTCACCTGGGCTCGCTCTCACTGGGGGGGTACAGCCTGTGTGCCTCTCCAGTTTCTGGGACAGGAATCCAAGTAATTTCAGGCAGGGAGCAGCAGGCACAGTCCAACCCACCTTATGATTTGGGGAACCTCCCAGTGGGTCAAAGATATATATCAAGATTATATATTAACTCTTATATATGAGTATTCAGGACATAAATGCTAGAGTGAAAATAAGCTCTGGTAAGTGAATTCACACACACACACCCTATCTAATTAGCAGGGAATTTGGTTTGGCTTTAAATGGTAATTTCTAAGCCAGAGCAGGAACTTGCATTTCCTTTCTAGATTCAGCTCATAGCTTGCTTCTACGGGACACTGACCTAAAAGGGTTACTCTTGAAATAATGCCTCCCATTTATATGATCCCCCGCTACAGGACACCCCGCTTCCTAGGGCAGAGACCGTTCTATACCATCTGCTGATCATGTGGGCTGAGAAGACTGCGAGAGCTTTCCCTGGTGGCTTTTCCTGGGTGGGTTTGGGTGGGCCATCCTAAGCCAGCCTCCTGGTCATTCCCACCTGGCTGCATATGACCTGATGCTCAGGGTCTGGTCTGCATCCTGCCCGGGACCAGGACTTCTGCTGGGATTGAGCTCTAGTCATTTCAGACTGAAGTTTCCGGGAGCTTCCTCAGGTTCCTTCCTGAGGAAAGGAGGCAAAGAGAGAAAACCTGAATACCAGCTGCCTGACTCCTGACTTTGTGTCTGTGTGGAGCTCATCTTCCTGGCACCAGTGCAGTTGGTTACAAACAGGAAGTAGGGATGCCCAGAGGGGGGGAAAAAAAGTATGTGACCCTTCCACCACCGGGTGGTGTATGGGACTCTCCCAGATTGAAGGGAGGTCATCACATCTATTCCCCTGCCCCCAGATAGTTGAGATTCCCATTCTGCTGTCTCTTCTACAATTTGCTGTCATGACTCACAGCCCATGACTCAGAACCCAAGGGGAAGGATACGATTTCCTGACTTTCCAATTCTCCACCTGCATCATAGCTATAATGCAAGCCTGCCAAACACTTAACCTAAATCTACCATGCTGTAGGTTGCTTTCCAGGAAAACCTAACTCTTCTATATCCTGCAGCCAGTCCAGGAAAAATTGAGGTCCCACTGCTAGAGTCTCTTCTGTAAACTCCAGGGCACTGTCTCACTGGAGTGAAATCAGGACGATTTCAATTCATATGGTACTTCAGTGAGAAATCGGTCTCCCTTTGTTCATCCCCCAAGGTCCTAGAACTCGTCAAGAACATTGTGGCTGATGACCGGGTCCAGTTGCATGTGTTGGATGCCTTTGACCCCCTACCCATCAGCCCCTTTGATGATCAGGCCTTGGGCTACCAGCTGCTCCGGCAGACCATACAGTCTGTCTTCCCGGAAGTCAACATTGTTACCCCAGGTAATGACTTCATCAGCTGTGGCTGGAGAGAGGTGGGGGCTGAAACTGTTTCCTCCCGGGTGTCCACTGCCCCACCCCCACCCCAGCTGTTCAGCCTGGAAACATCTGGCTGCTTCCCCTCCTGATGGGACTGGAACTGTATTTTCCCCTTGGAGTGGAAGTGAGAAAGCAAACAGGAAAGAAGCAGAAACAATAAATTAGGTCAGTCAAGCCCAGGTCCTTGCCTAACCTAGGCCAGCCGCTCTGGCATGAAGGAGAGGATCAGCCCAGATCCCCGCTTCTCTGGAGGAGCCAGGGGGGTGGCCAGTGTCCCTCCAGTTTGGCTCTGATCTGTTCTAGGATAACAGCTCAGCAGCAGAGCTCAGAGCCGGCAGCCCAGAAATGCCTTCCAGCCTACCATTGCTTTTAACCCCCTCACCGCCGGCCCAGACCATCCCAGCAGCGGCGCCTCTCTGCCCCTCCCCCAGGCTCCCAGTGGACCTTCCAAAGCCATGCCACAGAGACAGTGGTTCTCAAACTTAAGAGTGGAAAAGGATGACCTAACGAACTTACTAAAATACAGATTACCTGCACCCATTCCCAAAGATTCAGGTTAACCCAAACTGGACAGGACCCTGGAATCTGCCTTTTTAACACATAACCCTACAGATTCTGATACCAGAAGATGTGACAGTCTCTGGGGTGCCATGTGAGAGGGAGATGCTCTAATGCTAAGACATGTGTCCAGTTTCCTTTTATCTAGATTCAATCATGGAATCTCTCATTTTCTAAGCACATACTTAGGACCTGACCCTGTGCCAGGCTTGGGTCCTTAAACAGCATATATGAAATTCTGCATCCACAAACCCAGGTGTGAAAAGGCAGCTTGTTTTTTTAATCAACTTATATCTGTCTGTAAGCCCCACTTCTCGGGAAATTCAACCTCAGACATTAGTGAGACCCTGAAGCACCAACCCTGCCTTGAATCAGGCCATCAGGGTCTTATATAGCAACATGGTATTGGAGTCCCTTGGCCAATGGTCATCCGTCCTTGTGGTCACCTCTGAGGCATCCATTGCCTAGCCCCATGGTCACTTTAGGCTGGAGACTTCCTCTGATTGCCTGGCTTGTTTAGGAAGTGGGATCTTTGACTCTAGACCTAAGACCCAACCTCCCTGAATATAGCAGGCAGCCATCCCCTCTGAAGTCTGCAACCTCCCTGGACTCTAGCCACAGACCAGGGCCTGGGTCCTCACAATCCAGGGACCCTGGCCTTCACAGTCCCCAGTTCTGTTCTCTTGCTCTTCAAATCTCCCTACCCTACTCTCTCACTTCCGGAGCACCTGCCATAATCCCATCAATGGGGTTAGGCTTTTACAGAAAAAAAAAGATAGAAGAAATCAACTGGTAGAAATCCCCAAAGTAAAGAATTGTGAAGGGCCTAGCTACCTACCCATTTGAAACCAGGAGCAACAGTGTTTGGGGAAACACAAAACCCCAAGTACCATCTCAGACCAACCCGCGCACTTTCCCCAGGGGGTCTGTCCCCAAAGAACACTCCTGCTGGGGACAAGTCACAGCCCCAGCGGGGCGCAGGCAAGCTGCTCCCTTCAGCAGAGTGGGAACCTGGAATACCCCAGGGCTTTGCAAACATGAGGCCTGACTCTGGGGAGACAGAGCCATCCTTCAGAGGATGAGAATAACAGGAAACTATATTCTTCTTTAAGAGGATCACATTTTACAGCAGTAAAGTTCCCCAGAGGATGTTTATTTCTGACCTAGGCTGATACAAAGGAAAACTGAGGCGATAAAGAAGTGATATCTAGGTTCCTGAAATGGCCTGGTAGGGTATGAAGTGAAGATAATTGGCCTCCCTGGTCAGCAGGAGAGAGGAACTTAGCTTTGGGCCATTGGAGGGATGGCTCACAAATGCCCTTGGGAGGAGATTCCCATGCTTTTGGCTGAAGTGGGGTTTTAGTAAGGTTTTGAGAATGGGTAGCCTGAAAGAAAAATTCATAGCTGCAGGCTTCCAGGAGGGCCCAGGCATTGTGCTGTGGTGACCTAGGGGTCCTAATTTCCCAGGCAGCCCACCTCCCACCACCGCCTTGGCTTGGTCGCTCACATGAAGCCCCCTTCCTCTTGATCTGCCCTTTTTAGGTACTTGTATTGGCAACACAGACAGCAGACACTATACAAACCTCACCACTGGCATCTATCGGTTCAACCCCATCTACCTGAACCCTCAGAACTTCCGTAGGTGAGTAAATTTAATGGGCTGAACAGCATGTGGGAGAGAGGAGATCTGTCTGACCTATCCCTTTCGTACCCCATTCTTCTGACAGTCCACAGATGGGGGAAAGCTGCGGTTTTCACAAACTAAGACAAAGACATTACAGAACCCAACTGGCCAGCTTTCCTCTTGCCGCTTCCCAGAATGTGTGGGAATCAGCTACTCTTTTTCACGGGTGGAGATGATAATCAGATGATTGGCAAGAACCTGGTGGAATTAAGACCCTATAATGCTAATCCCAGCTCTTTCTCCCTTTGGGGGAGTACTTGCCCTCTGGACCTCATTTCCTCCCACCCCCCCAAAAAAAGGAGAGACTCCAGAGCCCTCAAGAACCCTCAGGGAAATGCAGACACACTTGAGGTCAAAGGTAGGCACATGAACTGTCAGAAGAAAACATGCTACAGGCACCTGAGACACCATCCCTAATTGTAACTATGTGTGAATTACTACTTTATGGGTTCTTCAGCAAATGTTTAGTCCTGGGGTGGTGGAGGAGGATTTCCATTTATTTCTTTGTGCCCGGTCGCATCCAGCCCGGATTTCCCCATGGTCAGTTGGTGACCAGCAAAATGAAAATACCTGAATATGAGCTTAAGAAGGGCTTCCGAGGGTCTGTTCTTGTTGCTGAATGGGGCAGGGAGCAGGTGGCTTCCCTTTATCTCCTTTCGTCTTTGTGCTTATGCGTGTAGTTTCATTATTGTGCTGTGCTGTGCGGAGGCAGGTTGGGGGCATGACAGTGAATTCCTAGGTGAGGTTGAGAACCCCTGGGGTACCCCGGATGCTCTCCCTACCCTCTGTGCCCCTAAGTAATGTGGGAGCGAGTGGGAGGGTGGGTTAGAGATAAGGGAACTCTGACCTAAGAGAAAGAGAATTAGAGAGAGAATTTCCCCTCCGAGGAGAAGTTCCTGAATGGATTTCAGAGCAGGGAATGGTTTTGAACTTGCCGAGAGTCTATTACCGTCTGCCCCCACTGCTCTTTGCCGCGGGCACGGATCCTGGAGAGATGGCCGGCATGTCGGATGAGCTTGTGTCTTTCAGATGGCCTCTCCCACACTACCCACTTCCTATTGGAGGATCACAGGCCAGTGGCTTCGGGGGGATGTGAGGTGGGCGCTACTGTGTAATAACACCTGTGCTACAGCAGTTGACTCTGTCTTCTCCCAAATCTCTGTCCCTCAGCATCCATGGGATCAACGAGAAAATCCCAGTGCAAGCCTATGAGACCCATGTGAAATTCATCTTTGAGTTTATCCAGAACGCTGACAGAGATGAGGAGCCGGCTCCTCACCTGCATGAACTGTGAGGTCCAGGAGCAGCTGGATTAGGGGTGCCTGACCTCGGGTACAGGTCACCCAGGAGAGAAAGCCAGTACTGATGAAACTTTTGGTCAAAACCACGTTGTGAACATCTCTCCCAAGAATAAGTCCAGCGAGTAGGATAGCGCCAGCAGGACTCTGCCTTCACCGGTCCTCCTGGTAACCCCATCCCTCTGCGACCGCCATTTATCGCCTTTATTCCTATCTTAGTAGGTATCTGGCTTATCTGTCTTACACTGGTTATTTAACAACTCCTTCTTAAGGTTGGACTTAACAACAAATGCAGATTGGAAAAATCCCAGCCAGGTCTGACCTTCAGAAGTGTTTAATTTCAGGCACACTTGCCAGCTTGGCTTCTCCACGGCTTTTCTATTTCTTTTCGCTGTAATCTCCATTCCCTTTTCTCCCCCTCTTCCTGGATGTTAGGCCAGCCCTTCATCTGCCCTCTCCTGCCGCTGCACCCTTCCTTTACCCTCTGATTCATTCTACTTCTGAAGCAGAACTTAACTCACACTGTGATGCCACCATAACTACCCCCAACAAAAAATTGGCCAAATAAAGTGATCTCAGCAGCATCAACTGGTTACTGGGGAGTGAAACCGAGGCAGGGAGCTTTGGATGAACCCCTGACCTCCTGGTTCTGGAGGCTGGAGCCTGGAGAAGAAAGGCTGTCCTTGGGTTCCTCTCAAGGGCTCCCAGGGCTTTGCTCCCTCCACTGCCCCATTCCTGCCACCTGCTGCTACTGCCCCACCCTAGGAGGCCCTAATCTGTGGAAACATTTCCCTGGCACAGGCTCGCAGAGCTCCCAAGGGCAGGGCAGTCCTGCTCCCGCGTCTCAGTGGAGCCCAGGATCAGCAGGATCCTGGCCCAGCATCGTGCCCTGGCTCAGACCAAGCAACGGGAAGTGGAGGGCATGGGGCAGAGGAGGGCACGGGGCGGTGGGGACTGGCTTGGATTCCGCCCTAGCTGGCGGGGCGTGAGGAGGGGCAAGCTGCCCTCAGAGGATGACAGAGCTCCTGTCTTTTTTCTCTGCAGTCCAACCCTGAGCATATTTGAATCTGTTCAGTAGCTGCCAGGTAGGGGGGGGGCACTGGAACGGCAGCCCTTCTTCCTCAAGGCTGGGAGCTGTGCCTTGTGGATCACAAGGGACTTGGGTCACAGAGGGAGACACGGAGGGAGTTGAGACTTGAGAGACTCCCTCTTTTTTTCCTCACCAGGCAAGGACCCTCCCCACCTCCTGGGATCTGACAGCAGTGGCTCCTCCCCGCTCGCAGCCCCCCTGCCCACTCCTGCCCAGTTCCTCCCTCCCTCCCATGGATGTGAGCTGTTCCTTGGAGCTTAGGCTTAATGGGAAGCGTTAGAAACAGTGTGGGGATTATTGCAGCTCTTTTGCTTACTCCCTAAGATTCACATTCCTTCCCTCACCCTTGCTTCTTTGGCTAATTCAGTACTTATTCAGCCTTTGTTAGACGGGGAGCTGAAGGACAAAAACAATCCTTCACATTTGTACAGAGCTGTACAAAGTGCTTTCATACACCTTATCTCATTGGAGCCCCACGAGAAAGCCCCTCCTTACAAAGGAGGAATGGGCTCCCAGAGAGGTTACACATCTACCTGGGAGCAGATTCGGACGCATGTCACCTGGCCCCACACTCACCGTTATTCCGTTTTCCTAAATTACTGATGGAATCTATTTCCCACCGATTATTTTATATAATCCTGACAACTGTAAGGTGTTATTGCCCCTGTTTTACAGACGAGGCAATGGAGACTCAGAGGTAAGTAATTTGTCCAAGGTCATGCAGGTGTTAAGGGCAGAGTGTGTCTGAATCAAAGCCTGTGGAAACACTATTGAAGAGGAAACTGCCCGCAAAAGTTATCTGCCCAGGAAAATACAGTTCTTAAGAGGCAGCTCCAAAATTCAAATGCTGGTAAGAATCCCCAAGTTCAATGCTTCTGCAGTTGCACCACACTGCCTGCCCCAGGAACCTGTGGAATGTAGTTCATTCATTCCAGTCCAAGGAGATCTCAAGGACAAAGGCTGTTCACTGTTGGATTTAGTTCTCAGCTCAAGCTGTCTGTGTTCCCCTGGCTGACCTCTGCCCAGTCACATCTCTGCCAGCACTCCTTTTCCCCTCAGTCCTCAGCTTCTGGGTTCAGCTCTTCTCCCTTTTTTAAGTTTGGGGATAATTGGGGCTCAATCCATGGGATAACTGGGAGAAGAATGAGCAGGGGACCCTGTCCCCCATCCAGTCTCACCACCGTCTTCTAGCTAAGAAAGGGTAGTTGTGTAAGTCCCCAGAGTGGGAAGGAAAGCCCTTGAGAGAGAACTGCACCAAATCCTGGCTCCCCGAATGCAGGTATTCCGGCCCTGTAGACTCTGAAGGCTTTTGGAGAGAACAGTTAAAAGTGCCAGCCAGGCCAGGACATAAGTCCCAGGAGTCTGGGCAGGACAGGGCAATGAATCTGGGACTTTCCCCCACCCCTACCTCCAGCCATCTACCACTCCGCAAATCCATCTGGAAAGAGCTTTAGCAGATAATCACATGTATACCCTACATCCCATCAAGGACTTAGTCAAGTTTCTTACCCACACCTCAATCCCTAAGGTGAGAAGGAAGACAAAATATCCTAAGCAAAGAGAAAGGGAAAGGAGGAGAGAAAAGTCTGGCTGAAATTTTGACTTTGAGCTCAGCTTGCTAAAAACTTGACACTGTAGATCCAGTATTCTATTTTTCCAGTGATGGTAATAGAAACAAAGTGTGTTTCTATTGAACTTTGATTCATTTTTTAAAATTTAAATCTAATTAAATATTTTTATAAAAATGAGACTACTTAACAATTTTAGTGTCCAGTGTCCATGTAACTTTCAATGAAAAGGATAAGTATTGTGTTTCATAAGTGTTACATCTCAGCCTACAAACATGAAAGTGTAATAATAATACAAATCGTTTAATTGTACAAAACATCCCTCAGCCACCAGGTGCAGTGTTGCAAATGCAACCTTAATCTACCAGGCGCAGTGTTGCAAATGCAACATTAATCCACCAGGCGCAGTGTTGCAAATGCAACATTAATCCACCAGGTGCAGTGTAGCAAATGCAACATTAATCCACGAGTACCTCCAGGACCAGAAACTGGAACTCAAAGAGGAGCAAGAAAATGGGCACTCAGCACCACTGGGAAATAACATGTCAGGCCAAAGCCTATTGCAGTCACGCAATCTGAAAGCAAGGATTTGGCAAGTCAGTTTTCTTTTCTCTGAGCTAAGCACTTTGGCAGCTCAGTTCCTCCCTATACTCCAAAACCTGGTCTGCCTCTAAAGTTCACAGTGACACAACCCACAGACCTTCACAGCATTCAGACGTAATTTTTTTTTTTTCTGAAGGCATACAGCAACCTATGTAGGAAAGTGCTTCCGTAGAGCCTAAATTGTGTTAGCCTTAGGCATATGCGTTTAGGGTGACCATCTGCTCCGGACCAGCCCTGAATGCCGAGTCCCAAGTGACACAGGCAATGTAGTTCTTTGCTGGTTGTGGTAGACCATGTCTTCTAAAGCATGAAGCCCAGCATAGGGGGCCCTCTTGCCCAGGTCTAAGACAACAAGGTCTTATTTTACATACCCCATAGTGCATGGCCTGGGAAATCAGAAGGCCTCTGTGGTGAGGAGGTCATGCAGAGGCTGAGACTTCAAGATTGAATGGAAGTTAACAGGGCAAAAGAGTTGGGAGTGGGGCTGGGCGGTGCAGGGATGTTGTGCCAGAAGGAGAATAGTGTGCAGAGACTGTAGGATCTAAGCATTCAGTGAAGACATCAGGTTAGCCTAAGCACAGCCATCTTGAGAAGCTCAGAAGCCATTTTCTGAATATGCGACTCAGAAAGGTCTTGAAAACGAGGTGAAAAACAAGTTAGACAACCATAAGCACAGACAGCTGTGGCCTTTAGTCAGCTAACCTTGGTCAGTTAATCATACATACCAAGCTTATCTTGCTGAAACCCACCCTAGCATTCTGAGAGTAATCTTATCTCACTGAACCCCCCAAGATGTGACGCCAGCTGATGAATCATGTGTACGTGCTTGTAGAACAATACTGTCCTCTTAGAAAATGCTATAAAAACCTCTGGCTTTAGCTGCTCAGAGCCCTTGTTGAAACCTGCTGCGTCGGGCTGACACTTGGACCCCAGCTAGCTGGTTCCTGAATAAATTCCTCTTGCTCGTTGCATCAAGAGATGCCTTTCGTGAGTGATTTGGGGCAGCGTCCTCCTCTGGGAGAATCCAACAAGACTAGAGACAAAGGACAGCATGATGATTCAAGAAACTCAAAGGAGGCCTATTTGGGCCTTGTAAGTCAGAATAGGGACTTTGTATTTTGACTTAAGGACAATGGGAAAGGGAAAAATAGTTAAGAGTTTGTTTTTCCTTCTTGCCTTCTATCTTTTTGTCCTTCTGTTCTTTTTATTCTAATACATACATATTCTAATACATACATATATATATGTATGTATATAGAAAGATAGAGACTTATTTAATTCTAATCATTACCCTATGAAAAAGGCTGTTGCAATATAACTGTTGAAAAATTGAGTCGGTAGATTAAAGTAGGTGGATTAAAAAGTTATTTAGGTTAGTCATTAAGGAAACACAAGTCAAAACCACAGTGGGATACCAACTTCACATCCACATCCACTAGGTTGGCCATAATCAAAAAATGGAAAATAAAAAGTGTTGGTAAGAAGAAAAAAAAAGTGTTGGTGAGGATGTGGAGATACTGGAACCCTTGTACACTTGCTGGTGGGAATGTAATGATGCAGAGCTACTGTGGAAACAGTTCATTGTTGCCTCAAAAAATTAAACACAGAATTATCGTATTGCCCAGCCATTCCACTCCTACGTATGTACTCAAAAGAATGGAAAGAGTTTTTCCAACAGAAGTTTGCACAGAAATGCTCCTAGCTGCACTAGTCACAATAGCCAGAAGGTGGAAACAACACAAATGTCCATCAACAGAAGAATGGATAAACAGAATACATGATAGCCATACTATTATTCAGCCATTAAAAGGAATGAGGCCCTGACACAGGCTCCAACATGGATGAACCTTGAAAACATGATGCTGAGTGAAAGAAGCCAGACACAAAAGGTCACATATTGCATGGTTCCTTTTGTATGAAATGGCCAGAATAGGGACACCCAGAGTGACAGAAAGCAGACTAGAGGTTTCCAGGAGCTGGGCGAGGAGGGAGTGGGGAGTGACTGCTTTATGGGTAAGAGGTTTCCTTTTGGAGATGATGAAAATATCTTAGAACTAAATAGAGGTGATGGTTGCACGTCAGTGTGAACATAATGCCAATGGATTGTATGCTTTAAATTGGTTAATTTTATCTTATGTGAATTTTACTTAAAAAAAATTCATTCCAAAAGAATAAAAAGGTTATTTAGGAGGTGGAAACGATTGGTGATTGATGGATGGGAGGGAAGAGGAAGGAATCAAGAATGACCTCCAGGTGGCTGACTTGAATGAATGGAAGGGTGACTCCATTTACTGAGATGGGGAAACCTGAAGAAGGAGCAGGT